TTCAGCTCCCCACCCCCCCTATCGGAAAGATTTGGCAATAGCTTTGTAAAAGTGATGTGGACATAATTGCCTAGAATTATGAAAAAATGAAACAAAAAATCTACAGGATTTCTGTTTTAATTGTGTCCCCCTCCCGTCAGACGGAAGCATTTTTCAAAGGCAGATCATTCAGGTGTGCCCACGTGCACATGTTACAAACCCAATTACCATGTTAATAAACTCTCCAATTTGAAATCTTTTTTTTTTTTTTGGTATCTTAATTACTTTGGAATAACGTTTTCATCCGGATGTCATGCCTGCCGTATTCGCTTTTAACCCACAGAGCAAATCTGAACATTTGATGACTTGGGGTTTTCTAGGGGAGTGGAAAAAAGCACGGGTTCCTATCTTTGACAGATTCCCCAACTGTTTTAAATGAAGCAATTAGACCAGTGGTTCCCAACCTTGGCAACTTTTAAGTGTGTGGACTTCAACTCCCAGAATTCCTCAGTAAGCATAGCAGGGCTGAGGAATTCTGAGAGTTGAAGTCCACGTATCTTAAAAAGTTGCTGTGGTTGAGAAACACCGAATTAGATCACTGACAAAACTCGTATTAAAGTTTCTTTTTGCCGGTTTTTTTTTTTTTTTCTTTTTTTCCGGTGGTTCAAAACCCATCAAAAGAGGTTCGTGCAAATATGGTACTGTTTCATTCGTGATGCATCCAATATATCTCAAACTTAATTTAAACGCAGACGTGCAGGCCCAGGGTAAAAGTAAGATCTTCCAACTCTGTCCTGGAGAATATTATCATTATGATTTTTTTTTTTTTTTGGTTCCCTAGCAGCACAGGCTAGTGATTAAAACAAGTAGGACTGTTATATCACAACTCTTGCAATAATTCTGGCGTGTCACGTTCAGTACGAAAACTGAACTCGGGCGCCGGTTTAGGGTTTTAAAGCTTCCTCTGCTACTTTTAACTTGGAAGCCTGGAGAATCTTTGTAGTTTTTCTTTTTCTTTCTTGAGAAAGGATTGATTTGAAGGGAAGGCCTTGGGTAAGAGAGGCGTCTAACCCTCTTCAATCAGCAGCTGGATGTTGTCTCGGGAATTGCCACTTTTGTCCTCAAACCGCTGGGTCATTTAAATCTGAGTAGACTCTACCAGTGTTGGCGAATATTTTCAGTACTGAGTGCCGAAACGGGAGCGCACGTGCGTGCCGGAAACCGGAAGAGCAGTTACCTGGTATGCATGTGCGCACCGAGAAGTAGATCTCCTGGTTTTCAGCGTGCGCATGCGTGCCGGCCACCTGGTCTTCCGGTTTGTGGCATGCATGCATGTGCAAAGATCAGATGGCCGGTGCACATGCAGCGCCGGAAACCGGAAGATCGTGTTCCTGGCGCGCGCACCGGGCAGCCTCTCTTCTGTTTTCCAACCTGCCCACGTGCATAAAGACCAGCTGGCCAGAACCCGGAACAGCAACGGGCAACGGCTCGCGTGCACGGAGAGATGGCTTTGCATGCCACTTCCGGCACGCGTGCCATAGGTTCGCCATCCCGGGTCTATACATTTTTGCATATCAGGCAATGCAAGCTAGCTTCACCTTCCCCAGATGGTTATCTGGAGATTATATCCAGGTTCCAGTTCTCAAGACGCTGGGGTTGAGTTTTCAGGAAGTGACGGCTGCAAACACAGCTTGTGGGCTCTTGGTTGAAGAAATAAGAACCTTACAAGGAAGCAAAGCTAGGACGTGAATTGAGACTCGTGTTTCTCTCAAACTTGGCAACCTGAAGATCCGTCGACTTCCAACATCTGGAATTCCCCAGCCAGCATTCAATTCTGGGAGTTGAAATCCACACACCTTCAAGTTCCCAAGTTTGAGAAACACTGCACTGGAATAGTTGGTAAGACTAGGATACTAAGCTTGTATCTTTGGCAACGAGTAGCAGGCAGCATCACTGCCATTGATAGGAATATAAGCTGTAGAAGAATAACTGGTGCTTAAAATCATTTAACTGCATTTCCTATTCTAGAATTCATTACAGAAGGCTGATTCTCTGTGGAGATTCTCCGTCATCCAGGTCACGATTGTCCCGAAGGCGCTTTTTTCAAGAGGCAACTGGTTTTTCTTTGAAGACGTTTCTCTTCTCAAGCAAGAATCTTCCTCAGCTCTGACTGGGCCTTTCAATTCCGTACCATCCACTCAAGAGCTGAAGAAGCTCCTTGGATCAGAAGCGTAAAACGTCTTCAAAGAAAAACCAGAAAGTCCAGAAAAAAGCACCTTTGGGATTAAAGAAGGCTGGTTTTCCAGTTCAAAATGTTTTTTCCATATTGGTTGGTAGGTTCCAAGGAGAACATGCCCCATTTCTCTTTATATAAAAAAAAAAAGGCAGTCACAAGAACTGTTCCATTTTACACAGCTCTAAATTTAAAATGTTGCCTCTCCCCCCCCCTTTTTTTTTTCCCCCTTTGTAACCGTGTCCATTTCACGTAAGGCTACATTGTACGGACTAAACAAAGTCGACTGTCCTTCAAATTCATCTACAGTTGTAGCTACCATAATGCATGAAAATTTAAATAAATTTTATTATGTCTGCAAATATCTGGCCTTTTAATTTATTTTTTTTTGCAGTAATATGAAAGCTTTTTAAGTTACCCTACCTTTTTCAACAAAATTGTCTTTGGATCATTGTTTTTAAGTAGCAAACTAGGGGAAAGGGGTTTTTTTGTGTGTATGTGTGTTTTTAAAGGCTAGGAGAGTTTAGACAGCATTCTACTATCTGGCACTCTTTGGCATGTTGGATTACTAACTGTATTTGGGCATAATCTTCCACACGAGCAAAAGTTTCTGTGCACAATTCCAGAACTGATGTTACAGCATGCAGAAGAAAATGGGGCAGTATTGTTCTGATCTAGGCTTCCCAAGAGCATGAAGCAGACTCCTTGTCCAGACAAAACCCCCTTTTTATTAAGTACTGTGAATTCCTCTCATTCACATCCAGTAAAGTCTTTCAAGGGAGACTTTACAGTCTCAGCCCTTATCTGGCTTGGAGAGCTGCCAGGCTGATATCTTGGCAAGGAGGCTCTGAGAGTCACAAACCAATTAAGCAAACTAATTGTCTCCTGCAAACTCCCCTCCCCTTTCGCTCCTCTTTTATTTCCTCTGGGAGGGGCCATTCATCGGCCACCTGTGGCTTTACTCCTGAGTCGACCCTTGTTCTTTAGCTGTTCCCTTCATCTGGCAACTCTGCTAATGCACACACTAGGAACAGGCTCCAGCTGTTCTTCTGCCTCACTGATGTCCGACTCCGAAGGCAGCTGATAACTGTTGGACGGCCCTGGCCCCCTCTCTGCCTCCGACGCAGAGCCCTCATCAGAGCCTTCATCTCTGCCCCAAGTCTCATTAAGTAAATTTGTAAATTTTCTCAGCAAGATTTCTGGTTTGGCATGGCCTCTTCCCTAAAACAGAAAAAGGACTGGCCTCATAGTCACCACAGCTGAACTTTCATGCCTCATGTGGGACTAGAACCAGCAGTCTTCCGATTTCTACTCTAGTACCTTAAGGATCCCACGTGGTCCCTCACTCCGACTGCAGAATTTAACTGCGCAGCCACCTCACCTGATCCCACACACACAACCAGCCAGCCCCATATGTGTGGGAAGAAGGATGGTGTAAGATGACTTGGGTGTCTTCAGATTCTGTTCACCATAATCTTTAGGACCCATGGCACGCTGGCCTCTGAACGTTAATGAAATCTGGAGTGTCCGTTTAATAGAAAGGTGGGAGATCAGCAAAATAAATTTGGCAAAGTGAGTTACACTGATTATTTCCTGGCTGAAGAGTTATTTCTTAACCTTAGAGCACTTGATTCTTGAGAGTCCTGTCTCCCCTCTCCAGGTGTGCTCTCCTGAAAGATGCTTTCTCAATCCCTTTCATTGGCAGTGAGAAAAGCATTACTTGATCTTGGCTGGTTTTGAAAAACCTAAGCAGGATCACAACTGCTTGGCACTTGAGGGGAGGATAGTGATTACGATACTGTCAGAATGTTATTGTGCCATACACTAAATAAATAAACATTGTATTGCAATCTCTGGGGGGGGGGTCACCAGCAAATTTTGGGGGTTGTCACAGATTTGGAGGAGGTTTCAAAGCCGAAGAAGAGCCAGCGCTGTCCAAAGACGTCTCTGTGGGCATGTGGCTGGCATGACTCAATGCCAAAGCCGCACGGAATACTGTTCCCTTCCCACCAAAGGTGGTCCATATTTTTCTACTTGCATTTTTTTTACATGCTTTCGAACTACTAGGTTGGCAGAAGCTGGGACAAGTAACGGGAGCTCACTCCATTACGTGGCGCTAGGGATTCGAACCGCTGAACTGCCGACCTTTCGACTGACAAGCTCAATCCCTTTGGAGGAGATACACGCAGTCAAAACTGGGAGTCCAATTTAATACAGTTCCTGCTTTCCCTGGATAAGCCAGCTGGGCAACCTGCAAACTGCATTGCTGGCTGGGGAATTCTGGGAATTGAAGTCCACAAAAGTTGCTAAGTTTGAGAAACAACGACTATCAATCAAGGTTAAACTTAACCCATCCTGGCTGGGAATGGATGTGCAATAGTTTATTACGGGTGGGCAAATGTGGTCCTATTACAACCTGTGGACTTCAACTCCCAGAATTCCTGAGACAGCCAAGCTGGCTCAGGAATTCTGGGAGTTGAAGTCCACAGATTGTAAAAGGGCCACATTTGCCCATCTCTGGTCTATAACACTCCACCTTTGGGGGGGACTTTTATATAGGATGCCCCCAATAAAATCCAAATTATTATTATTTTTTTCGTTGCTTTCTCCCAAAGTCGGGCATACATGCCCAATTAAAATCGGAAGTCCTAATCCTATCCTAGGCCTCTCTCTACTATTTCCGGTTTCGTGTCTATGATGATTCGACGGAGTTTCAAGAGCGGAAATCCACTCCCTCTGCCTTACCTACCTCTATGGTGCTTTTCCGCTCTCTTCCTCTCTCCTTGCAAGATAAGTTGAAAGGCGCCTTCTGATTGCGTCACGGCGCGGCGACGCCCGGAAAAGGCTGCTCCCTCCCCACGTGGAAAGAGAAGCATGGAGGCGAAGGTAGAAGCGGCGGTGCTGCCTTTGAACCAAGGCCAGGTGAGGCGGCGGTTTGAGGGAAGGGACCCCCAGCCCCAATGTACAACCTGGGCGCTGCCTTTCCGCGGGCGGTGTGGGGTTCCCCACGACCGCCCCGCTGTGGGTGCGCTGCCCATTGAACCCCATTGCCTGGGTTCGCCCTATGGACCTCAACCGCAGGGAGTACATGATTGTTCTTATTCTTCAATATTATTTGGTGCTTTCGACTTAAGTCTTGTACTAAGAATTCTATTCTATTCTATTCTACTCGGCATGGTTAGTCTAGTGAAGAGAAAGACCAGGGGAGACAGGATAGCAGCCTTCCAATATTTGAGGGGCTGCCACAGAGAGGAGGAAGGGGGTCAAGCTATTCTCCAAGGCACCCGAAGGACAGACAAGGAATAATGGACGGAAACTGAACAAGGAGAGATTCAACCTGGAAATAAGGAGACATTTTCTGACAGTGAGAACGTGTCTCACTGGGTCTCCAGCTTGGGTGGGCGGGTTGGACTAGATGACCTCCAAGGTCCCTTCCATCATGATTGAACTGAAAAGGCTGTTGGAAGGGATGATTAGGGGGATTGTAGACTAAAACATATGATGAACAGTTGCAGGAACTGGGCACGGCTAGTCTAGTGAAGAGAAGGACCAGGGGAGGCATGATAGCAGTCTTCCAATATTTGAAGGGCTGCCACAGAGAGGAGGAAGGAGGTCAAGCTATGTTCCAAGGCACCGATAGGCTAGACAAGGAATAATGGATGGAAACTGAACAAGGAGAGATCCAACCTGGAAATAAGGAGGAATTTTTTGACAGTGAGAACCATCAACCAATGGAACAGAAGTTGCCTTCGGAAGTTGTGGGAGCTTCATCACTGGAGGTTTTGAAGAAGAGATTGGACTGCCATCTGTCAGAAATGGTGTAGGGTCTCCTGCTTCAGTGGGGTGTTGGATTAGATGACCTACAAGGTCCCTTACCACTCTGTTAATCTGTTTTTAAACATCTGTTAAAAAACATATGTTAGTCTTGACTCCTGGAGATTGCCTGAATTTGATTAAGGACTATGAGAACACAACACGTCTGGATTAAAGTGTTGTGTCTGAATAGAATAGAATTCTTTATTGGCCAAGTGTGATTCAACACACAAAGAATTTGTCTTTGGTGCATATGCTCTCAGTGTACATAAAAAGACAAGATATATTCGTCCAGAATCATAAGGTACAACACCTAATGATAGTCATAGGGTACAGATAAGCAATCAAATCATATTAGGAAACAGTCAATATAAATCATAAGGATACCAGCAACAAGGTTACAGTCATAAGTGGGAGGAGATGGGTGATAAGAACGATGAGAAGATTAATAGTAGTGCAGACTTAATGAATAGTTTGACAGTGTTGAGGGAATTATTTGTTTAGCAGAGTGATGGCTTTAGGGAAAAACTGTCCTTGTGTCTAGTTGTTCTGGTGTGCAGTGCTCTATAGCATCATTTCGAGGGTAGAAGCTGAAACAATTTATGTCCAGGATGTGATTGGTCTAAATATTTTCACAGCCCTCTTTTTGACTCATGCAGTATACAGGTCCTCAATGGAAGGCAGGTTGGCTTCGAGATATGGAGATTCTATGAGTAATAACAATTTTTGTTCTAGATCAAAAAAGCCACTCATGCATTACTTGCCTATAACGCGAACAAACAGAAGTCCGGAGAAAAAGTGTTGTTGGATGTAGACCAGAATATCTTTTTGATGATTACCGTCTGGAAAATCCCACCAAATGAGCAAGTAATCAAAATGTAAGTCTGCCTACCTCTGTACTTTAATTCTGCTTTTCCACCCCAGTGAAATGCTATCCACAATTGGGCATAACTAGGAAGTTTGGAAACTAATATGCAGCAAGAAATAAGCCCAGTTCAAAAGCAGAGTTCTTATATGTACAGTAGTGACCAAAATTGTGGAAACTTTTTGGGAAAAGTGTATTTTCTAAAATTAGCTAATAACACCACTTTTTTTTTTTTTTTGGAGTAGTACCATAAAATTATATATCAATGGAAAGATAATTTAATCAAGAATGTAATGCAATCACTTTTAGGAAGGATTTGTTATTAGAATAGCAGTTGCAATATAAGGAAGAAAAGTGAAACATGTAGAAAAAACGAGATATACGAAAATTATCATGTCACTTAATATTTTGTTGGGTAACCTTTAGCATGAATTTCAACCTTACAACATCTTCCCAAGGAGTGAACCAAGTCTTTTAGTTTTGCGGCTGTTATAATGTGAAACCAAGATTGAAGGATGGCTTCTATTAACTGGGTTTTATTGCTGGGTCTCTTCTGACTAAGAAGTTTTAGTCAGCTCCATAGATTTTCAATTGGGTTAAGGTCTGGGCTATTCCCAGGCCATTCTCAGCAGTGGAATACAATTATCTTGAAACTCCCCCCCCCAAAAAAAAAAAAAAAAAAGTGGTGGTGTTAGCCATTAAACCTCAAAAATACACTTTTCCCAAAAGGTTTCCACAATTTTGGCCACTACTGTAGAGCAGGAGTGTCCAACCTTGGCAACTTTTAAGACCTGTGAACTTCATCTCCCAGAAATCATCATGACCGGCTGAAGAATTCTGGGAGTTAAAGTCCACAGCTCTTCAAAGTTGCCAAGATTGGACAGCCCGGATGTTGAATAAAGATCGACAATGTAGGTAAGTCCTCAGCATACGACCACAATTGAGCCCAAAATTTATGTTACTAAGTGAGACAGTTAAGTGAGTTTTGCCTCATTTTACAACCTTTCTTGCCACCGTAGCCAATTGAGTCATTGCAGTTGTTAAAGCGAATCTGGCTTCCCCCGTCGACTCTGCTTGTCAAAAGGTGGCAAAACGTGATTGCATGACTTTGCAACCGTCGTAAATATGAGTCAGTTGCCAAGCATATAAATTTGGATCACATGACCATGGGGAGGCTGCCACAGTCGTAAGTGCGAAACGGTCATAAGTCGCTTTTTTTCAGTGTGCCGTCATGACTTCAGACGGTCACTAAACGAACTGCTGTAAGTCGAGGACTACCTGTAATTGCATCTTCTTAGCAACCCTACAGAAGGGACGCGGTGGCTCAGGGGCTAAGACGATGAGCTTGTCAATCGAAAGGTCGGCAGTTCAGCGGTTCGAATCCTTAGTGCCGCATAATGGAGTGAGCTCCCGTTACTTGTCCCAGCTTCTGCCAACCTAGCAGTTCGAAAGCACGTAAAAAATGCAAGTAGAAAAATAGGGACCACTTTTGGTGGGAAGGTAACAGCGTTCCGTGTGCCTCTGGCGTTGAGTCTTGCCGGCCACATGACCACAGAGACGTCTTGGGACAGCGCTGGCTCTTCGGCTTTGAAACGGAGATGAGCACCGCCCCCTAGAGTTGGGAACGACTAGCACAAATATGCGAGGGGAACCTTTACCTTTACTTAATGACCCCACAGCTGTTGCTTTGCTGAAGCCTGCGGTCTGTTTGGTGTTCTAGAAACCTGCCTCATAGCATTCTGCCGGACACCTCTGAGGTTTGCCTCTTCACCAAAGACGAACCTGGCTTAACAGCGGAACAGACGGAGAACTTGTACAAGAAACTGTTGGACCAACATGGAATCACATCCATCACTGAGGTATGAAACTTTTGGTGAAAGCTATGCCGATTCCTTTTATTTCCTACGCTCTGTCTATTTTGGGAAAGGAGCAAAATAATGGCCTCGTCCAAAGACTGTGCCCGCAAGAGTTTCTTTAAACATGTAATTATGGCTTGCTGAATAAACCAGTTGCACCGTCTATGGAGACTCTCGGTCATCCAGATCACGGTTGTCTCAAAGGTGTTTTTTCAAGAGGCAACTGGACTTTCTGGTTTTTCTGTGAAGACGTTTTGATTCTGAGCCAAGAAGCTTCTTCAGCTTCAACCATTCCCCACCATCCAGTCAGAGCTGAAGATGCTTCTTGGCTCAGAATCAGCAAAATCTTCAGAAATACGAACTGTTGTCTCCTACGACAACCACTCCCCTTTCCTTCTATTTATTCCCCAGCCAGGGAGGGGCCATTCAGTGTCCACGTGTGCTTTGCTTCCCAAGTCAACTCCTTGTCCTCCATTGCTCTCCTCTCCTAACAGCTCTGCACATAACGTGCATCTGGAACAGACCCCAGCTGTTCTTCCTCCTCACTCATCCCAGCCTCCAAAGGCAGCTGCCTCTCCAGTGGCTGGGAAATGTCGGACGTCTCTAGCTGACGCAGAGCATCCATCATAGCCTTCCCCAGACTCCAGAACTGGCCCAAGTTCCTCCCCAACCTCCTCATCGTTTGAGTCTGCCGCCAGCTCCTCTGGCAGCTGGCGGGCCACAACACGGGTTCTCAATGTTGTCTGTCCCCTTCTGTTTCTCACAGGTCATCTCTTACAAGACATTCAAAACCGAATACAAGCCCTTTGAAGCGAAATGCCGCCTGCTGAATCGGTTTGCTCTTTTCTTGTCCGACGATCGTATTCGAAGATTGCTGCCTTCGCAGATGGGAAAACATTTCTATCGGCGTAAAAAGTAAAAACAAAATCCCTGGCCTCATTTTTTATTATTTATCAAATTTATCTATTTATTTATTGGTTCGATTTATATGCTGCCCTTCTCCGGAGACTTAGGGCGGCTTACAATGCGTTAAGCAATAGCCTTCATACTTTTTGTATATACCTGTTTAGGGCTTTCGGGGGCCCCCAAGCGGTGTTCTTTTTTATACAAAGTCAGCTTATTGCCCCCACTATCCGGATCCCCATTTTACTTACCTCGGAAGGATGGAAGGCTGAGTCAACCTTGAGCCTAGTGAGATTTGAACTTGCAGTAATTGCAGGCAGCTGGTGCTAGTTAACAGCACTTTAATCTGCTGCGTCACCAAGGCTCCATCTCAGCAAAAAATGACTCTGGGCAGCTTGCCGTGAAACGCGTGTACATACGTTATTTCAAACTTGACAAAAACTCAACGTTAAAAGAAATGGAATGTAATTAAAATTAAAAATAGACAAACCCCAGCTAGAGAGAGAATGAGTCTGTCCTTCATCAACACAGGTAGTCCTCAACTTACGGCCACAATTGAGCTCAACGTTTCTGTTGTTAAGTGAGAAGATGGGGCTTCTGAACCCTTCTTTAGGATTTTGGAGTTGTTTTTCTCCAGCCAGAATGAAATTTAAAAAAAAATAAATCTTAATTTTCTATCAAAGTAAGATTGAGAAAATACAAATGTTCTCAATATGAATGACAGGTAGCCCACAATCAAGCCCAAAAGTTCTGTTGTTAAGTGAAACATTTGTTAAGTACTGGACTTAAATTGAATAAAGGGAAAACTAAATTGTCGGTATCTCGTCGGTATCTTAGTATCTCGTGTTCTGAAGGGTTGTTTTCACATTTCCATTGCTGGGCATATACCATTCTCACTTTTGTCAGGATGTGTAAGTATTATGTATATTGACCCTTTGCTATAGCCATCTGTTATAATGCCTATAATTTCCTTTCTGATGGCCTTCCTTCGCCTTGGGGTTTTTTAGATATGTTGAGTTACATTCCCCATCGTCCCCCCCACAACTGGGGTAATTTGGTTTGGCCCATTCTGTAGCCGCTGAATTTGAAGCCGTGGAAACCTCACTTCCTACCTTCTCTCTCCCAATACCAGGGCACCTCTCTGCGTGGACTTGAAAGCCAAGGACCTAGCTAAGGAAATCCACAAACGCCTCCACGGAACAATTCTCCCAGTCACTAACAAGGGCAGTTGCTAGTAAGTATCTTGACTTGCAGCTCTCTAGTGGTGGGGGGCGGCGGCAGAGTGGCTCAGCGGTTGGGCTGGCAAGCTGGCAGACCAGGTTCGAAACCTAGCACCATGGGATGGGGTGAGCTCCCTTTCCTTGCTCCAGCTCCAGCAGTTTGAAAGCTTGGAAATGCAAGTAGATAAATGGATAGCAATAGCCCTTAGACTTATATACCCCTTTTTAAGATGTTAGATTTTTTAATTGTCTATGGGTTTTAGTCGGGATGTTTTAAATTTTGGGCCAAAGTTGTGTAATTCTTTTAACCAATTTTAAATATTATATTGGGGTGTTTTTTTTTTATTTTGGCTGTGCACCGCCCTGAGTCCAGCAGGAGAAGGGCGGTATACAAATTTAATAAAATAAAATAAATAAATAAATAAATATACCGCTTCACAGTGCTTTCCAGCCCTTTCTAAGCGGCTTATAGAGTCAACCTATTGCCCCAACAATTTGGGTCCTCCTTTTACTGGCCTCGGAAGGATGGAAAGCTGAGTCAACCTTGAGCCTGTGCGACTCGAACTGCTGGCAGCCGGCAGAATTAGCCCTGCAATACTGCATTCTAACCACTGCGCCACCACAGCTCTTTGGGTACCACTTTGTTGGGAAGGTAACAGTGCTCCATGACGTCATGCTGGCTACATGACCATAAAAATGTTTTCAGACAGCGCTGGCTCAGTAGTTTGAAATGGAGATGAGCACCAGCCCGTAGAGTCGGCAACGACCAGTGGAGTAAATTCTGATGGGAATTCTTTGCCTTTTTTACTCTAATCCAGGTGTTGTGAGAAGTTTAGAGGGAAGTGGCAAGCAAGCCAAGAGGACTACCATAAGGGGGGGGGGATGGGGAATCTATGATGCGATGGTGGGACACGGTGGCTCAGTGACTAAGGCACTGAGCTTGTCGATCGAAAGGTCGGCAGTTCAGTGGTTTGAATCCCTAGCACCACGTAACAGGGTGAGCTCCCGTTACTTGCTCCAGCTTCTGTCAATCTAGCAGTTCAAAAGCACATAAAAAATGCAAATAGAAAAATAGGGACCACCGTTGGTGGGAACAGCATTCGGTGCTCCTTTGGCGTTGAATCATGCCGGCCACATGACCACGGAGATGTCTTTGGATAGCGCTGGCTCTTCGGCTTTGAAACGGAGATGAGCACCGCCCCCTACATTCGGGAACAACTAGCACATATGTGTGAGGGGAACCTTTACCTTCTTTGATGCAATGACAGTGAGATAAAGCTTTTTATGAAGTTTGTAGGTCAACCATAGCACACAGACCTGAAGCCCCTTTCTTTGTGATTCCGAGAACACCCCAAGATGATGCTACTGTAATCCAAGAGGCAAACTTTCTGAATTTCTTTCAGCATGGTTCGCATTGGGCACAGCAGTATGGACGCATCGGAGATCACTGAAAACGTCATAGCAGCTGCCAAAGCGATAGCTATCAAAGCTCCACAGGTAAGGCTGTTTGTTGACGTAAGAACAGAGCTGGGAAGGGGTGGTGGTGGAGTTAAACGAATCATTAGCCTAGAATCGTTACGTTCCCACAAATGGTCTTAGGTCCAACCCTTCTTTTTTTTTTTTTAATTTAATTTATATGCCGCCCTTCTCCGGAGACTCAGGGCGGCTTACAATGCACTCAGCAATAGCCTTCATCCTTTTGTATATTTATACAAAGTCAGCTTATTGCCCCCACAAACTGGGTCCTCATTTAACCTACCTTAGAAAGGATGGAAGGCTGAGTCAACCTTGAGCCTGGCGAGATTCGAACCTGCAGTAATTGCAGGCAGCTGGTCTTAATAACCAGCTTAATAACAGGGTGCCTTAGACCACTGTACTACCAAGGCTCTTGAATTCTGTTGACCCTTATCTGGTCCCAATTTAGTGTTGAATTTAAGTTGACTAGATTGTGGTGTATAAGCTTAAACAATAAATCTGAACTGCAATATAACATACGGCCCTGACAGTGAACTACAGGTAGTAAGTTTCAGACAGACTCTGTACAGGTAGTTGTTGACTTAACAACCAATCAGTTAGCAACTATCCAAAGTTACGACAGATCCCCTCACCCAAAAGCTACTTACAATCGAGTTCCGACGACTGCACACACACACCCATGGTCATGTGACTGCATTTCTTACTGACCAGCTCACTTTTACAGCCGGTGGCAGTGGTCATTTGCTCACAATTTAGATACAATAAGGCTCACAATAGAGCCTTGGTGGCACAGTGGACTAAACTGCTGCTGTTAAAGTACTACTTAGCTGCCAGCTGCCTGCAATTACTGTGAGTTCAAATCTCACCAGGCTCAAGGTTGACTCAGCCTTCCATCCTTTCGAGGTAGGTAAAATGAGGACCCGGGTTGTGGGGGCAATAAGCTGACTTTGTATAAAAAAGAACACCGCTTAGGGGGAGCTGAAAGCCCTAATAAGCAGGTATATACAAAAGTATGAAGGCTATTGCTTAATGCATTGTAAGCCGCCCTGAGTCTCCAGAGAAGGGCGGCATATATAAATCGAACTAATAAATAAATAAATAAATTTATGTTTTTTTGCCAGTTTCCAGCAAAACCGCCCATAGGAATACATTGATTCGCTTAATGAATCCCCACATTCAATTTCAGGTCCCATTACAGTTACAAGTCAAGGACTAGCTGTACCTGCTTCCTTGGGGGGGTGTACAGTAGACACGTGTCAAATTTGGCAAATTGGGGATGAAATGTTCCATGGAAGGGGCTGGAAGATGTTCCCCAAAAAATGGCCTCCAGAAGTTTCTTCGTGTTGGCTGGGGAATTCTGGGAGTTGAAGTCCACCCATCTTCAAATTGCCGAGATTGGGAAGCATTACTACAAATCATACTATTGAAGGACCACTGAAGTGGGGGGGGGGTGACCCCATTCATCATAGTGGGGCTTCCTCCTCAGGATGCTGTTTCAAAATTCCCAAAGCAATTTGATGGGATTTACTTTTTGGCGTACGGGATGCGGTGGCTCTGTGGCTAAGACGCTGAGTTTGTCGATCGAAAGGTCGGCAGTTCAGCGGTTCGAATCCCTAGTGCCGCATGACGGGGTGAGCTCCCGTTACTTGTCCCAGATTCTGCCGACTTAGCAGTTCGAAAGCAGGTAAAAAAAGCAAGTAGAAAAATAGGGACCACCTTTGGTGGGAAGGGAACAGCGTTCCGTGTGCCTTTGGCGTGGAGTCATGCCAGCCACATGACCATGGAGACGTCTTGGGACAGCGCTGGCTCTTCGGCTTTGAAACGGAGATGAGCACCGCCCCCTAGCGTCGGGAACGGCTAGCACAGATGTGCGAGGGGAACCTTTACCTTTTTGTTTTTTGGCTTCTCTCTTTTCGTTTGCTCGCCTTCTGACATTACAGATGTCTCTTTCAATCCTCCTTTTATGTTGCTCTTCAGATCTGGAAAAGCGTGAAAGTTCTTCACCTCAAAACCAGCAAATCAATTGCACTTCCTGTGTTTCACTCTGCTTTCCAAGGTGAGGCTGCTGTTCAGAAAACGGAAGGCGCTGAAAACCAACAGGTGAGATTCTGAGCGGCACAGCCAGCAATACCGACTGGGTATTCCCCATACACATTGTATGCCAAAATCTCTATTTAGGCAGGGGTTTTAATGGGACTGATCTAAACACTGAACAACCAGTCAAGTGGGGAAGGTATCACAGTAGAAGGGTTGTGTCCTGAAGCAAGTCAATATAGGCTGGTGTCTTCGGCTTCGTGCTTCTAGGAGCAATGTGTGTGATCGCAGCTGTTTCTTCCTTTTAACTGCCAGTGGGGGTGTGAACTGATTGGGTGGGAGCTTCACACCCCCACTGGCAGTTAAAAGGAAGAAACAGCTGCGATCACACACATTGCTCCTAGAAGCAAATATAAATTATTATTATTTTTTAATTTGATTTATATGCCGCCCTTCTCCGGAGACTCAGGGCGGCTTACAATGCGTTAAGCAATAGCCTTCATACTTTTGTATATTTTATACAAAGTCAGCTTATTGCCCCCACAAACTGGGTCCTCAATTTAGCTACCTTAGAAAGGATGGAAGGCTGAGTCAACCTTGAGCCTGGTGAGATTCGAACTTACAGTAATTGCAGGCACTGGTGTTAATCACAATGCTATCAGTCTGCTGAGCCACCTATTTGTTTAGCACGATGCCCACCTTAAAACAAGGGGAGCAATTGTTAAGGAGCCAATTTCTCCTTTTTTTTTTTTTTAAAGACTGTTCAAATAAAGAAGAAAAAAAGAAAAGCTAAACCAAAGATTACAGCTCAGTCAGGCACAAAAGACGACACGAATGGGGCTCCAGAAGCTGACGTGCCTAAAACAGATGTGGTGGAACCCCCTACCCTGAAATCAAAAGGAGAAGAAGAGATTGAGGAAGAAATTCCACAACTGGTTCCTATTGAAACTCAGCCCTCTGAGAAAAATGATCAGGTATTTATTTCACCTTAAGTTGGAATGTGTCAAAAAAAAAAACCAAAAAACTGATTTCCTCCACAGGTAAAAGTCGTAAAAGCTTCTCGATTTAGGGCAACGGCTCTTGGCCTGAGCAACTGTGGACTTCAACTCCCAGAATTCCTCAGCCAGCTTTCCTCTGAATGCGTCTCTCTGTCTTGGTTTTTCCCTTTCGGCAAATAGGTGGGCAAGCTGAAGTTGGGTGCGAAACCAGAGCTGGAGACGGGCTCTCCGAAACTCCGTAGCAAAAGGAAGGCCGAGATTCCTGTTTCGCAGCCGGAAACACCCACAGAGGCTTCGGCCTTAGAGAAATCAAACCGACAGACGCCTGGTCGAAAATGCAAGATGGCCAAGCAAGAGGTTTCAGAAAAGACGCAGAGCAAGGATGCCAAGCAGCCCTTGGCTAAACCGACTGTGGCTCCCAAAAGGCTAAAAGCTCCTAAATCAGACACGAAACCTCCCAAACGGGACCTGAGAAGAATGAAAGTGCAGCTGTCCCTTTGAGCAGACGGAGAAAATTCGCTGTTTTCATATCGGGATCAAAGGGAGGTTGGCGGAGAAGACATTTATTCAACTTGTAAAACATCCTGTATTTTGTTTTTCACCGGGGGGAATAAAACAATGTCCTATTTTATTGTGTTCTCCGAAACTGAATTTTCCAAAGAGCTGTCTTTTTCCGTAGATAATGAATGTGACTTTATGTATACTAATCATCTAATTTTGTGTATAATAACATTTTAGAATTAATGTCCATAGAGATTCTCCGTCATCCAGGTCAAGGTTGTCCCAAAAGTGTTTTTTTTTTCAAGAGGCAACTGGACTTTCTCGTTTTTTCTTTGAAGATGATTCGCTTCTCATCCAAGAAGCTTCTTCACCTCTGACTGGATGATGGGGAATGGAAGGATTTATACTCCTTGCAGACAGGAGTATGAATGAATAATCTTTATTTATCGATTAGCCCTTAGGACATATCAAAGTGCAGAGCTCCAGAAACAATTATTACAAAAATTTGGTAGAAACAGTTTAAAATGAAATTGGAATAGGAATAAAACACGATTTAAAACGTGTTCATTTTAAATTTCATTTAAAATGAAATTAGAGTAAAATACAACCTAGAATGAAATCAGACTAGAATACAATAATTTGAAATACAAATTAAATATGATTAAGATTATATTACAATGTCCCCCCCCCTGCGTCTACCCAATCAGTCTTAAAACTACTAAGAGAATTACATTATTATGTCAAATGCTCTTTCCTGCAATCTACCCCATTCTGCTGCACCAACTTTGTCCTTTTTTCCATCAATATATATACACATATATACATATATATATATACACACACACACACACACATATACATATACAGTAGTTTTGTGTTCCCTTTAGTTGTTTGAGCAGTGTATAAACTACTGTATGTAAAGAACAAAGTATTTAATAAGACTATTTCATTCATTCAGATCTCGGAGGTCTTCTGCTTGTGTTCCCTTTATTTTTTTGAGCAGTATATTTCATTCCTCTAGGAAAGGCATAGGTGCTAACTTCCTACACCTCCTAGAAAGAAAGGAAGGAAGGAAGGAGGGAGAGAGGAAGGAAGGAAGGAAGGAGAGAAAGAAAGAAAAGAGAAAAGAGGAAGGAGGGGAAGGAAGGATGAAGGGAGAAAGGAAGGAAGGAGAGAGGAAGGAAGGAGGGAGAAAAAAAAGGAAGGAAGGAGAGAAAGAAAAGAAAGGAAGGATGGAGGGAGAGAAAGGAAGGAAGGAGAAGAAAGGAAGGAAGGGGAGAGAAAAGAAAGGAAGGAGGGAGAGAAAAAGAAAGGATGGAGGGAGAGAGAAAGGAAGGAAGGAGAGAAAGAAAAGAAAAAGGAGGGAGAGAGAGGAAGGAGAGAGAAAGAAAAAGAAATGAAGGAGAGAAAAAAGAAAAAGGAAGGAAGGAGAGAAAGGAAGGAAGGAAGAAGGGAGAGAAAGAAAAAGGAAGGAAGGAGAGAAAGAAAAAGGAAGGAGAGAGAGGAAGGAAGGAGAGAGAGACAGACAGACAGACAGACAGACACACCTTTGGGACTTTTAGAGGCTAAGACCCTGAACTTGTCGATCAGAAAGAAAAGAGGTCGGCGGTTCGAATCCCTTCCTACAGGTCTCCTGCCTGAGCAGGGGGTTGGACTGGATGACCTCCAAGGCCCCTTCCAACTCCGTCCCTGTTCAAAGAGTTCGTGGAGGCATTTCCAGGGGCGGGGGGGGGCGGCGTTGACGTCAAGGCCCCTCCGCCCACGGGGTAGCGTGGGTGGGGGTCTCATTCCCAGGATGGCAAGGGAGGCTGCTGCCCGGCGCAAGCGGAGCCGGTGCCGGTGCGCGCTGGGGCTGGCGCTGCTCTTCGACGCGCTGGGCTTGGCGGGGCTGCTGGTGGGCGGCTTGCTGGAGACGGAGGTGTCGGACCTGCTCATCTACCTGGGCGGCGTGGGCGTCTTCTTCAGCCTGCCCTGGTGGGTCTTCTGGCACGTGGGCAACCTGGAGGTGCCGCCCGAGGAGCTGCGGGACGACGTGGGGCTGAGCTGGCGGAGCGCCGACGCCTGGAGCCTGGAGAGCTGGCGAGCCCGGCGCTTGGCTCTCCTCGCCCGCGCCTTCAGCGCCCACTTCTCGCTGCCTTCCGCCGCCGCCTCCGCCTCCGTCCCGTCTCAGGTCGGCCGCCTCCGCGCCCACTTCGCCGCTTCCACCAGCCTCATCAGCCGCCCCAGCGACTTGGAGACCCTGCAGCGGCCGTCGCGCATCCAGGAAAGCCCCAGCCTGGCCCCTTCCCTGCCCGGCCTCTCCTCCTCCAGCGCCGGCACGACAGCCCCGCAGGGTAGGTCACAATGACGGCCCGCTTGGCTGCCTGCCGGGCTTTGGGGCGATCAGCCCTTGGTGGCGTGCCCATCAAATGCCCATCGGTTGAAGGAAGGGCTTGTGGCAAAAAAACTAGGTAGTGGTGTCGGATAGAAGACGCCAGGCTGGAAGCCAGGAGACGGGGAGTTCCAGTTCCTCTAAAGCCAGCTGGGGGACTTTGGGCCAATCACCAGGAGACCATGACTTCTAGTCCCCCTTTAAGCCATGAATGCCAGCCGGGTAACTTTGGGCCAATCACCAGGAGACAGGGAGTTCTAGTTCCACTAAAGCCAGCTGGGTGACTTTGGGCCAATCACCAGGAGACTATGACTTCTAGTCCCCCTTTAAGCCATGAATGCTGGCTGGGTGACTTTGGGCCAAACACCAAGAGACAGGGAGTTCCAGTTCCTCTAAAGCCAGCTGGGTGACTTTGGGCCAATCACCAGGAGACTATGACTTCTAGTCCCCCTTTAAGCCATGAATGCTGGCTGGGTGACTTTGGGCCAATCACCAGGAGACAGGGAGTTCCAGTTCCACTAAAGCCAGCTGGGTGACTTTGGGCCAATCACCAGGAGACTATGACTTCTAGTCCCCCTTTAAGCCATGAATGCCAGCTGGGTGACTTTGGGCCAAACACCAAGAGACAGGGAGTTCTAGTTCCTCTAAAGCCAGCTGGGTGACTTTGGGCCACTCACCAGGAGACTATGACTTCTAGTCCCCCTTTAAGCCATGAATACCAGCCGGGTGACTTTGGGCCAATCACCAGGAGACTATGACTTCTAGTCCCCCTTTAAGCTATGAATGCCAGCCGGGTAACTTTGGGCCAATCACCAGGAGACAGGGAGTTCTAGTTCCACTAAAGCCAGCTGGGTGACTTTACCAGCTGACTATATCGGGACGCCGGGAGCCACAGCCACTCAGTCTTGGAGGGATTGAGTCGGAGCCTGTTCCTCCCCATCCAGACCCGCACCGCCTCCAGGCACCGGGACATCACTTCAAGGGCATCGTTGGGGTGGTCTGGGGTGGAGATGTACAGCTGGGTGTCGTCAGCGTACAGATGGCGCTGCACCCCGAAACCACGGATGATCTCGCCCAGCGGCTTCACATAAATGTTGAACAGGAGAGGCGAGAGGACCGACCCTTGTGGCACCCCACAAACCAAGTGCCTTGAGGTCGACCTCTGCCCTCCAGCCAACACAGACTGCGACCGGTCGGAGAGAGAGGAGGAGAACCACCGTAAAACAGTGCCTTCCACTCCCAACCCCTCCAACCGGCGCAGCATGATACCATGGTCGATGGTATCAAAAGCCGCTGAGAGGTCTAATAGGACCAGAACAGAGGAACAACCTCTGTCCCGAGCCCTCCAGAGATCATCAACCAACGCGACCAATGCCGTTTCCGTGCTGTACCCGGGCCTGAAGCCGGACTGGAACGGATCTAGATAGACGGTTTCATCCAGGTACTGCGGGAGCCACCCGCAGTACCTATGACTTCTAGTCCCCCTTTAAGCCATGAATGCCAGCTAGGTGACTTTGGGCCAATCACCAGGAGACAGGGAGTTCTAGTTCCACTAAAGCCAGCTGGGTGACTTTGGGCCAATCACCAGGAGACTATGACTTCTAGTCCCCCTTTAAGCCATGAATGCCAGCTGGGTGACTTTGGGCCAAACACCAAGAGACAGGGAGTTCTAGTTCCTCTAAAGCCAGCTGGGTGACTTTGGGCCAATCACCAGGAGACTATGACTTCTAGTCCCCCTTTAAGCCATGAATACCAGCCGGGTGACTTTGGGCCACTCACCAGGAGACAGGGAGTTCTAGTTCCACTAAAGCCAGCTGGGTGACTTTGAACCAATCACCAGGAGACAGGGAGTTCTAGTTCCTCTAAAGCTAGCTGGGTGACTTTGGGCCAGCCAATCACCAGGAGACAAGGAGTTCTAGTTCCACTAAAGCCAGCTGGGTGACTTTGGACCAATCACCAGGAGACACGGAATTGTAGTTCCACTAAAACCAGCTGGAACTGGGTGACTTTGAGCCAATCACTAGGAGACAGGGCATTCTAGTTCCACTAAAGCCAACTGGGTGACTTTCCCTCTTTCTCTAAGCCCCACCCATCTCACAGGCTTGTTGTTATGGAGAAAATAGCAGGAGGAAGGAATATTAAGGTCTGTTTGCTGCCTTGAGTTATTAATAAAAACGATAAAGGTTTATGATAAATTTCATAAATGTCGAAGAGGGAGCAGTTTGTAGCAGATCACTCCTGCGTTCGATCTCGGGATCCTTGTCCAAGCCTTTCCACCTTTGTTCATTTCATTACTACTTTACTAAGGCAACCTTCCGGGAAGAGTAGTCGACTGGCGGCCCCCAGGGAGAGGGCCTTCTCTGTGGGGGCACCTACTATCTGGAATGAGCTCCCCCCCGGAGATACAGAGGATCCTGGATCTGCGCACCTTCCGCCACGCTCTTAAGACCTTTTTATTCCACCAGGCGGGCCTGGCCTAACTTTCTCCCTCTTTTTAAATAATTTTTAATATTTTTTAATATTTTTAATATTCAGAGTTTAATTTGTTTTAAATTGATTGGGGTTTTTTAATCTGTCTGAGCCAAACTATTTAATTCGATTTTATTTCTGCTTTTTAAATTTTGTATGTATTTTATTGTTGGCTGTTCACCGCCCTGAGTCCTTCGGGAGTAAGGCGGTATATTATTATTATTATTATTATTATTATTATTATTATTATTATTATTATTATTATTATTATTATTATTATTAGTTAATCTTTAGTGAGATTCACAGCCTTTGAGGCTGGTTAATAGCTCAGCAGCTCGAGTCCTAACCAAAGACCTAGGAACTGTTAAGGTATCGTCGGAGGATGTAAGCTGTTCTGAGTAAGGTGGTTTATTATTATTATTATTATTATTATTATTATTATTATTATTATTATTATTATTTTATCATATTTGTATACCGCCGTACTCCCGGAGGACTCAGGGCGGTGAACAGCCAAGATAAAAATACAAAAAACATATAAATCAAATAAAAGTAAAGTAAAAGTAAAGTAACCGGTGGAATTTCTTTTCCAGATTCGCCTGAAACCCAAGATCGTGGAACACAAACAAGTTTTTTCAAAATCATTGGACTCCACAAAAAGACCTAAACATAATTACCCTCTCTGAAACAGTTTATAACACCCTGGAAAAACTGTTTTATGCCTCCCAGAGACAATCAAACAGCATCATAAAAGGACTGGGCTCAGTTACTGAACTGGAAGTTAATTTATGGGCCTGGACAAGGTTGATGTCTCTTATATAACAGGTGGAACCAAGCATTAGGGCTTCCGAACTTAAAATAAAAATTTAAAGTAAATGTAGAATTGCCCAGTTACTCATCATCTTGAAGCAAAAGTCAAAAACTCTATAGTAAACTTCCTTCAGTGCCCAACAACACATTAAAAAAAAAAGTTTTACTGCCGGTTGGAGTCACCCTGAGATATTGGATCCAAATTGAAGGGGGTTTGAATTGGATCCAAATTGAAGGGGGTTGAAGGTGGATCCCCCTTGGAATCCACTGACCTGAGATCCATGCTTGCCCTTGTACATTGCATGTCTAAAGGGAAACTTAAAATCAGCTACTTATAAACCAGCCCGAGGATTTTAATTTTTTTAAAAGGGTCTTTCCAATTTTCATTGTTTTCTTAATTTTGCAGGGGAAACTTTTGACTAGTTGCCATACATTGCACTGATTTGTAAACATATATCTATCTTTCCTTTTTTTTTTTTTTTTTTTTGGAAAGTGGTCTAAAAGTAACCAGAAGTTTAAAAAAAAAAATGCAACACCATGGAAAACTTGAAGCTTTTGACTATTTGCACTCTATTGCATTTATTTCCAAAAGAAAAATCTGGGTGTTTTTTTTTGAAAGTGGAAACATAAAGAATGTCATATAACTCTCTTTCAATTTATGGAAAGTGATCTAAAAGTAACCAGAAGTAAAAAAATAAAAAAAAATGCAACACCATGGAAAACTTGAAGCTTTTGACCATTTGCACTCTATTGCATTTATTTCCAAAAGAAAAATCTGGGTGTTTTTGTTTTTTTTTTGAAGGTAGAAACATTAAGAATGTCATATAACTCTTTTTCATTTTATGGAAAGTGGTCTAAAAGTAACCAGAAGTTAAAAATTAAAAAAAATGGAACACCATGGAAAACTTGAAGATTTTGACTATTTGCACTCTATTGCATTTATTTCTAAAATAAAAATCCGGGTTTTTTTTTTTTGTTTTTTTTTTGTTTTTTTTTGGCAAGCAGAAAAATTAAGAATGTCATATAATTCACTTTTATAGGACGTCTATGGAGAGTCTCCCATTCCTTTTATTCCCATCTGGAATAAAACCCCTGCGGGCAGTCACCGCCCCCTCCACCCCGCCTCTTTTCTGCGCAGGCGCCTCGGCAGATTCCAGCCAACGCGGCGTTCGATGGCGAGCCGGAAGAGGCGGGGCGCGCGTGAGCTCCCTCTTTCTCTTTCGGGAGCCGGGCGGAAGTGACCTTTCGCTTCCGGTGTCGGGCGGAAGCTGTGGCGGCTGCGTGCGCAGGAGGTTGTCTTTACTCTCCGGGAGCATGAGGGGGAAGAGGCGGCGGCGCTGGCGGAGGTTTGGTGAGGCGAGGACGGAGCGCGGCTGAGCCGGCGGAGGCTGCCGAGCGGGGAGAGGAGGTGCGGGCCGCGAGGGGGGAAAGGACTTTCCGTCCCCCCCCCTTTCTGCGTCGTCTACTGCTTCACAACAGCCTTGTGAGGTAGGCCAGACCGAGGAGTCGTGTCTTCTACGTACCTGGCTCTGATGGGGGTTTTGTTGACCCCTCAGGACCGAAGCTGGAAGGGTAGATTGCCCTGACGGAACTCGAGGCCCTGGTTTCTACTACAACTCCCATCATCCCCCAGCACCCCGGTTGTATTTGGGCTGCAGGAGGGTAGATTGCCCTGCCAGAACTCGAGGCCCTGGTTTCTACTACAACTCCCATCATCCCCCAGCACCCCGGTTGTATTTGGGCTGCAGGAAGGTAGATTGTCCTGCCAGAACTTGAGGCCCTGGTTTCTACTACAACTCCCATCATCCCCCAGCACCCGGTTGTATTTGGGCTGCAGGAAGGTAGATTGTCCTGCCAGAACTCGAGGCCCTGGTTTCTACTACAACTCCCATCATCCTCAGCACCCCGGTTGTATTTGGGCTGCAGGAGGGTAGATTGCCCTGCCAGAACTCGAGGCCCTGGTTTCTACTACAACTCCCATCATCCCCCAGCACCCCGGTTGTATTTGGGCTGCAGGAAGGTAGATTGTCCTGCCAGAACTTGAGGCCTGGTTTCTACTACAACTCCCATCATCCCCCAGCACCCCGGTTGTATTTGGGCTGCAGGAAGGTAGATTGTCCTGCCAGAACTCGAGGCCTGGTTTCTACTACAACTCCCATCATCCTCAGCACCCCGGTTGTATTTGGGCTGCAGGAGGGTAGATTGCCCTGCCAGAACTCGAGGCCCTGGTTTCTACTACAACTCCATCATCCCCCAGCACCCCGGTTGTATTTGGGCTGCAGGAAGGTAGATTGTCCTGCCAGAACTCGAGGCCCTGGTTTCTACTACAACTCCCATCATCCCCCAGCACCCCGGTTGTATTTGGGCTGTAGGAGGGTAGATTGCCCTGCCAGAACGAGACCCTGGTTCAACCACAACTCCCATCATCCCCCAGCACCGCCATTGTATTTGGGCTGCAAGCAGGACCGCCAGGAGGGTACATTTTCCTGCCAGAACTTGAGGCCCTGGTTATACTACAACTCCCATCATCCCCAGCACCCTGATTGTATTTGGGCTGCAAGGCCGCCAGGAGGGTAGTGTCAGGTTTCGAGGTCGTCTCAAATAAATTGCATTTCAAACAAAGTCTTTGATGAAAAACTCCCATTTATTAAGCACGACATTCTAACTCCGACTCCATCGCAGCCAGCCCTGATTTCCAGACACAAAACCCTCCCTTTCCGTTCCCCACTCCCCTGCACTCATTGGCCATCTTCCAAGTCACTCTACCCCTAATCTACTGCTCCAGCTCAAAGGAATTTCCCCCCTCCCATCCCATCTCCTAGGGGATATTATCTCCAGGGAAAATAAGTAGGTGAAAAGTCAAACGTCCCTTTCCAGATGCCTCCGCTTCTCCTTCTTATGTCAGCACTAGAGTAAATGCAGCTTGAAGTCCTGACAGGTAGATTGTTCAGCCAGAACTTGAGGCCCTGGTTCTACCACAACTCCCATCATCCCCAGCACTGCCCTTGTATTTGGGCTGTAGGGTCGCCAGGAAGGTAGATTGTCCTACCAGAACAAGGCCCTGGTTTCTACTACAACTCCCATCATCCCCAGCACTCCGGTTGCATTTGGACTGCAGGAGGCTAGATTGTCCTGCCAGAACTCGGGGCCCTGGTTCTACTACAGCTCCCATCATCCCCAGCACCCTGGTTATATTTGGACTGCAGGAGGCTAGATTGTCCTGCCAGAACTCGAGGCCCTGGTTCAACCACAACTCCCATCATCCTCAGCACCACGGTTATATTTGGGCTGCAGGAGGGTAGACTGTCCTACCAGAAGTCGGGGCCCTGATTCTACTACAACTCCCATCCTTCCCAGAATAATTAACACCAGTTGGTTATCCTAGCCGCAGATTCATCAACATCAAAACGTTTTTCACTTTCATGGTCAGATGCCAATCTTGCATTGCAATTTTATTTTAAGGATTTTCTGACATGTTGGCTGAGGATGAATTCCTGAGATCGCCACCAAAGAAGACGGTCAGATTCGGCGGTACTTTGGCAGAAATCCTACTGAAATATCAACAGGTAATGCTGTAGGGTAGTGTTTGCAAGAAAAAAAATACATCCAATGTATGGGATGCGTTCATAACGTTTTCTGTTTTTAATACTGATAATTCATCCACGAGGAACTGTTTTGTCTTTGTTTTTCTCCACTGATGAGGAAATTATATACTATATCTGGGAAAAAGGATTTGTGGAGTTCTTTATCATCATCATCTTCTAACGATCCCATAATCCCTCACCGGGTAGAGTCTGGGCAACTGAATGGAGCTAGCAGAGTGTTTACTGACCGGTTGCCCTTCCTGTCGCCAATGCAGAGTTTTGTTTGGCAGATATAGTCTCATTGTGCCCAAGGAGAGAAATATCTGCCTCTACGTAGGATTGAACTCGCAGCCTCCTAATTGTGAGGCAAGAGCTCCACCTCTAGGCCACCTCACCACTCCTTGTGGAGTTCTTTATGCAGAGCTCAAAATTGCACATTTTCTCTTTCAGGGCAAGACCACTGAGTTTGATCTGCTGAAGCATCAGCTGTTGGATCCAGACATAAAAGTAAGATTTCTATAACACTCAAATACTCTGAAAGGCCTCCTTAGATTTAAGAAAGAATGAAATAAATAATTTGAATCTTTTTTTTTTTTTTTAGTATTCTTTATGGGTTATAGTTTATAATTGCTGAGGAGCCAGAAAGTTACCCAAACACAATCTGGAAAATGAATCCAGTCAGATTTATAAATTCATTTTTAAATAAAACATTATCACACTGTTCTGTCCCCGTCTCACACACGCACACAAACAGTCAGCCAGGAGTTAAATAAAACTTGCAGACAATAAATTCCTTCGATAACAGGATTGGCAGCAACCCAGTAGCTGCTTGCCAAGAACTTTACTCACAGAGGGAGGTGTTCCTCCTCCGTCAGATAAACCAAAACAAATACACAAAGACACAGAATTGTCAAGTCCAGTCCGTATTAAATCCAAGGCAGGCAGATAACGTAGTTTCAGAGATACAATGCGACTCGCTAGTCACAGAGCCTGAATGGCCACCACACCCCCTTTTATCCCCTGTGGGGTGTGGTCCAGTGACTCAGCTTAATCTCTGGCACCCCTCCTTTTCTGCTGCATGCGCTTGTCTCTCTGACGCTGGCGTGGATCCAGCCAAGACTTATCTCCGTCACTGTCCGACTGCGACTGTTCGGAGATACCTGGCTCCTGGCCAATCTCTTCTCCTTCGGGAGACACTTGAGGCATTGCCAGAGAGGAGGCTCCTGGAGAGGGAGGCCTGGCCAACTCCTCTCCTTCACCTTCGGAGTCTTCTCCCTCCGATAAGACGGGCTCGGGGGTCGGAGTCACAACACACACCTTTCTAAAATCCACCACTGTTTACCAGGTTTAGCAATCACAAGTGTACCTAGTACTGTCGTGTCAGATTAATTGGGAAAACTACATTACCCAGTGCACCTTGCCATTTGCAAATAGCCGTGCTAATGTGCCAGGCATTTTAACTGGGAAGAACCAGGGCTGGGCTGCTGGGGGTTCGGGAGAATCTTTAGCTAAGATTCTGTGCAGTTCGGAGAACCTCCAAATCCCACTCCTGGCTGGCCATGGCCACCCCTCCCAGGAGTCCCCACAGACCCTGTTTTGTATGCAGGTAACTGCAGGGCGCACACGGAGACTCGGGGAGGGCGAGAAACGGGCCTACCGGAAGTTCAGGAAGGCCAGGAACAGGTCCGTTTCCAGCCTCCGGAGGCTGGGGAGGCCGGTTTCGCCTTCCCGGAGGCTCGAAGAAAACCTTCAGAGCCTGGGGAAGGCAAAAATGCCCCCTGCCCTCCTGGCTGTGGTGCAGGAGGCCGACTGGGCCAAGCCCACCCAGCAACCGGGCAGAGAACCCCTTGCTAAAATTTTTGAAGCCCACCCCTGAGAAGGACTATATGTCCTTTTCCTCTCTATGACAAAAGAATAACCCTGACAATATAAGAAGGGGTTTTATATGCATATGAGAGGTGGGTCTAATTTATTGGATTTCGTTGAACTAGACTACCCAGATGCTTAATTTTTCCCATTCGGTGCATGGATCCGGTGAATAGATTTCCTGGGAAAGCGCAGGACGAAACTCTTTAACTACAAATAGAAGAGAGTATCTGAAGCTCACGGTTGAACTGCGAGGTCCTTGCTGGTCTCTGAACTTGTTGTTTTCTTGCAGATCCAACTAGGTAACTTCAGTGCTAGAAGGGAGACAGAGAGCAAAGCTCACTCCTTTCTAGCACTGATGATATTACCTACCTGGGTAACGAAATGTCTTCCAAGAAAACAACCAAGCTCAGAGAGCACCAGGGACCCCACAAAACTTTTAACTCCTTCTGCTGTTTCAAAATTGAGAGGCTGATCTAGCTGACACACTTAAGTCGTGACAAGCAATGTGTGAGCAAAATGTGGCAGGTTGTTGGTCTGATGGTCTTTATCTTAAAAGCAAACTAACCGCTTCTCACCCCAGCTAAAGCTTTTGACAGCCGGTGTGATTTAGTAATTAAGATATGATGGCTTCTGTTTTTTAGGATGACCAGATTATTAACTGGCTCTCTGAATTCCGGTCTTCTATTACATTTTTGACCAAGGAGTTTGAACAACTAATTATCATCCTGTTGGTAAGAATTCTCTGGTTGCATTGGGTGCTCTTTTTGCTTTGGATTTGGGGGGGCACATCAGATGCTCCAACTTCTGATCCTGTTGTCTCTAAAAATGCAGAAAGTGCCGTGGCTGAGACGAAGCCAGCCTGTAGTGGAGGAGTACCTAGCTTTCCTGAGTAACTTAGTGTCTGCTCAGACAATCTATCTTAGGCCATGCCTGCAAATGATCGTCTCGCACTTCGTACCCCGTAAGTACTTCCCCCCCCCCCTAGTTTTATTGAAAGAAATGGAATAGAAAATATTTTAACAGTCAAGAAAAAAAAATGAACCCTCCATCCCTAAGAATGTACCCAACTTAAAGAATTTACCCAACTTAAAAAAAACCAGAAAACAGAAAGACTCTCCCTATATATCACCTCAAAGAGAATGAATCTACTTTGGAGAAGGGAAAGGAAAAATAATTCGTCAGTGTTACAAAAAATAATAATAATAAAATCTTGTCTTGAGGGGTCCTTGGTGCTCTCTGGGCTTGGTTGTTTTCTTGCAGACGTTTCATTACCCAAAGTAGGTAACATCATCAGTGCTAGTCAATAATAAATAAGAATAGTAATAATAAAATCTGTCTTGCCAAAAAGCATACTACTGTGTTTTTCGGACTAGAAGATGCATCTAGATTTAGAGGAGGAAAACAAGAGCCTTGATGGCGCAGCAGACTAAAGTGCTGTTAATTAGCACTTAACTGCCAGCTGCCTACAATTACTGCGAGTTCAAATCTCACCAGGCTCAAGGTTGACTCAGCCTTCCATCCTTCCGAGGTAGGTAAAATGAGGACCCGGATTGTGGGGGCAATAAGCTGACTTTCTATAAAAAAGAACACTGCTTATGGGGGGCCGAAAGCCCTACTAAGCAGGTATATACAAAAGTATGAAGGCTGTTGCTTAATGCATTGTAAGCCGCCCTGAGTCTCCAGAGAAGGGCGGCATATAAATCGAACCAATAAACCAATAAACAATAAGAAAAAAAATAGTTTTTTGCCTCTGCTGGTCCTGTTTTTGCCCTCCCCAGCGTCCAGAAGCATTCTGCAGGCCAAAAACGGGCCTGTTACTGGCCTGCAGAGTGCTTCTGGACACCAGGGAGGGCAAAAATGGGACCCAGGGAAGGTTCCGGAGGCCAAAAGCAGTCCTGTATTTGTTCTAGAAGACGCACAGACATTTCCACCCTCTTTTTTTTGGGGGGGGGGGTGTCTTATATTCCTAAAAATACAGTATTTTTTTTTTTGTTGTTAGATAAAATCGCCTTTTTGCCCAGAGTAATAATAGCAGCTGTGGTTTACAGAACAGAACAGAACAGAACAGATGGAAGGGACCTTGGAGGTCTTCTAGTCCAACCCCCTGCTTAGGCAGGAAACCCTATACCACTTCAGACAAATGGTTATCCAACAACTTCTTAAAAACTTCCAGTGTTGGAGCATTTACAACTTCTGGAGGCAAGTTGTTCCACTGATGAATTGTTCTAACTGTCAGGAAATTTCTCCTTAGTTCTAGGTTGCTTCTCTCCTTGATTAGTTTCCACCCATTGCTTCTTGTCCTGCCCTCAGATGCTTTGGAGAATAGCTTGACTCCCTCTTCTTTGGGGCAGCCCCTCAGATTTGTTTATTTTATAATTAATAATAGGAATTCAAAGCAAGGAAACTTGGATTCAAGTCTGAGTTCACAGCCCCCAAAGCTCTGTGGGAGACTGTTGTAAACCTCTTAAGGAAAGCTGTGTTTCTGATAGATAGATAGATAGATAGATAGATAGATAGATAGATAGATAGATAGATAGATAGATAGATGTTCTGCAAGGCATTTTTTGTTGATCAACAAGATAACTATAAGCTCCTCTGTTTCTTCCCAGCCCGAATAACCATCCGGGAGAACGATGTGGACATCTCTGATTCGGACGATGATGAAAGTGAGTACTTCCCTTTTTCTATTTCTTGATTGATTCTTTTATCCATATGTATACTATTTCTATTTTTCTAGCTGGGTTTCTGCACCCAAGGGAGTATTACTTGATTCAGTGTGGCCCTGGTAAAAGATGGGAGTCCACAGGTTGACCAACGTACAACCATTCGTTCAGTGACCATTTGAACTTTCAACGGCATTGGAAAAAAATGACTGACATTCACAGCCATCATAAGCTACCCATGATCAGTGGGTAGTGATCAGGTTTCAGGCACTTGGCAACTGGCATGTGTTCCGGGTCATGTGATCATGTGGTGGCACAGTGGTTAGAATGCCGTATTGCAGGCTAATTCTCCCTACTGCCAGCAGTTCGATCCTGACTGGCTCGAGGTTGACTCAGCCTTCCAACCTTCCGAGGTTGGTAAAATGAGGATCCAGATTGTTGAAGGCAATAAGTTGACTTGTAAACCGCTTAGGAAGGGCTGTAAAGCCCTGTTAAGCGCTATATAAGTCTTAAGTGCTATTGATATTGCTATCGCCATTTGCAACCTTCCCAGCCAGCTTCCGACAAGCCAAGTCAGTAGAGGAAGATGATTCACTTAATGACTGCAGCCATTCGCCTGGCAACCGTGGCAAAAAAAAAAGGTCATAAAATCAGGCAAAGCTCACTTAACAACTGCCTTGCTAAGCAATGGGAATTCTATACCCCTTGCGTCAGCACTTCAAGCTGCATTTACTCTAGTGCTGACATAAGAAGGAGAAGCAGAGGCATCTGGAAAGGGACGTTTGACTTTTCACCTACTTATTTTCCCTGGAGACAATATCCCCTAGGAGATGGGATGGGAGGGGGGAAATTCCTTTGAGCTGGAGCAGTAGATTAGGGGTAGAGTGACTTGGAAGATGGCCAATGAGTGCAGAGGAGTGAGGAAAGGAAAGGGAGGAGTTTGGGTCAGGAAGTCAGTGTTGGCTACGATGGAGTCAGAGTTAGAATGTCGTGATTAATAAATGGGAGTTTTTCATCAAAGACTTCGTTTGAAATGCAATTTATTTGAGACGACCTCGAAACCTGACACCTTGTCTATAAATCTTGAATGTGTCTGGTCCTTTAGTGTTCAAAACCATAGAGTCTGCTCAGACATTGTGACAAGTTGAGCGACCGCTCCTCCGTGATTGTGTCGATCTCTCTTGCAACCCTCCAAATCGAAGGCTGGCGTTTTTCCAAGTGCAGCCTTTTTTGAACAGGGTGTCTGCAGGAAGCAGGTCATATTGAAAAAAGGTTTCTCATATATAGTGCGGATAAATAATACAGTAGCAACAAAACCGCCCTCAGAAATTGGAAGAAGTTCTTGACCACGTCTAAAATAGAGATCTGCTTGTATCCACCAACTTTCTGGGTTATAAACAGACATGTTGCTTTTCAATCTCTGCAGATGTTGTCGAGAGCTTCACCACCTGCCACAGAGCATTGCAGACAATTGTGAAATATGTCCCTTTGTAAGTTAAAATATCTTTTATTTTTCTGGGCCAGGGGAAGACAATGTGTAACATAAGCTGCTTTTTTGTTGCCCATGTTGTGGCCCACCGGCGGCCAACGGAGCTGGCAGCAGAGTCGGACAATGAGGAGGTTGGGGAGGAACATGAGCCAGTCCCGGGGGCTGGGGAAAGCTCAGACGAGGGCTCTGCATCGGAGGCAGAGAAGGACATAGACAGCAGTGAGGCAGAGGAACAGCTGGAGCCTTTTCCCAGTGTGCGCATGCGCAGAGCTGCCAGAAGACAAGAAAACTCCGAAAGCAGGGTCGACTTGGCAGTAAAGCCACACCTTGGAGGTGATTGGCCCCTCCCATAGGAAACAAAAGAGTGAATTTTTTTGGAAAAGCAAATCATACATTGGGGGAAATGATGTTCCATAGAGAAGGAGAAACCTGTAAACACAATCAGAATCATCAAACGTGCATAGGACAGACAGGAACAGTATTATCTTCCCCAAAAAATAAAACCCTGTCATATATATATATATATTTGCCACCAAAAAAGAGCACCAGGTCTTATTTTCAGGGGATGTCATCCACTGACTAACCTCACTTGTGCACGTCATCCCTGGCCTCATTTTCACTGTCAGAGGCCTTCAGGAACTTCTTCTGCAGCCGGCAAGGCTTTCCTGAAGGCCTCTGCAGCCGATTACAGAGCTCCGGATCGATCCGGAGCTTTGTTATCAACTACAGAGGCCTTCAGGAAAGCCTTGCCGGCTGCAGAAGAAATGGGACTGCGAGGCAGGCGTCGGGGTGTGCGAGGCCTGGCTGCAACTGTCCAAAGGTAAGTAGTAGGGCAGCTCCATGCACCTCCCCCCATCCCCACCTTAGCTTAATTTTTACCCATGCACTCTGGAGTGGGCAGGATCTTAATTAACAGTAATAACTTTATTGTCATTGTACGTGTATACACAGTATACCCATACAACGAAATTCACTTAACACCCAAAGACCAGGTCCCACACACATAACAATCCCCAAACAAACTCCCACCCACCACAATTCCCCACCCCTAAACCACCCAAACATCCACACCACAGACCAAGCAATGCTGTCCAACAGCTCACTGATGGTGGCCCTTTAGTTCATTGTTGAGTGCAATTATAGCTCTGGGATAAAAACTATAAAAACTAATTAGGCCTTATTTTGGGGATAAGGCTTATATTAGGCACACGTGTAAAAATCAAGCCAGGACTTACTTTCAGAGTAGGTTGTATTTTTGGAGAAACGGGGTATTTGAAGACGTTTCCAGACTATGAATTAATAGTGGTGCGATCAGTTCTGGGAGCACTTTTCCACTGCATCTGTGTTTGCTCTTCTAGGCTCCCTCTTAAACCTTGCCTGTAGTCCACACAACAAAATAAAGGATGGTTTTGCTTATCTATTATATTTTCTGTGTTGTAGGACACCACAATTTCTCATGCCAGTGCTGGCTGAAAAGTTTCCCTTTATTAATAAATCAGAAAGAACATTAGTAAGTACCTGATTTTCTGGAAATGAAGATTCTTTCGTGCTTTTGGTGTCTGCTGCTCGTTTAATTCAAGGCTGCTTTAAAAAATCTGTTAGTGGAAAATGTGATCTTGATGCCTCAGAAACAACTGGTAGTCCATCATGATTATTACCGAAGCCTTCTTCTCCTTTGGATATTTAATTATTAGTTTTGCTTACCTTTGCTAAGCCCAATCTGTTTGGTTTGGTTTTATTTTCCCATTCTGTAGAAGTGATTGTGTTTTGCACAGCATGGCTTGTGGCTTAGCATGTGTGAAATTAGTAAATGGCAACTTAATAAACCATAAATAAATCCACTTACGTACGAACCCAGTTGCTTTCTCAGATAAAAACATCTCCGATGGATATATTGTGTTTGAGCAGTATGATAAAAAGTGCGTATACCGGAGAAGGGCGGTATACAAATTTAAAAATAAATAAATAAATAAATAAAATTTTAAGGAATGCTGTATTTAAATACGTGATGATTCTAAAATAGGATATAAAAATTGGAGATCCTCAGATTTGTTTCTCTTAGTTTTCTAGATGTGATTTTTAAAATTCCTTGACAGTGTTTTCATGGGAAACTCTTCCATTTCAGCAATGTTATCTCCATAATTTGCTACGAATAAGCGTATATATCCCATCATTAAGGCATGACATTTTGGAGCTGGTTGTTGAGAAGCTGCTAAAAATTGATGTAAGTACAGAATGCTGTAAATTGTGGTTGTTTATAAAGGGTCTCCATAGTTCCCCTTGTGAAAACTGGTTTAACTTTGCAAACTTCATATTCTTCAGTAAACGATGCTGCTATGTTTGTATTTACTGAACTGTTGGGCAATGAGATAAGGAATATACTTGTTATGCATTGATAAAAGAAGAATATTTGTAGCTCAGGGTTGAAATGTGGGGTCCTTGGTGCTCTCTGAGCTTGGTTGTTTTCTTGCAGATGTTTCATTACCCAACTAGGTAACATCATCAGTGCTAGAAGGAGTGAGGTTTGCTCTTGGTTCCTTGAACATTCTCCTCTAGCACTGATGATATTACCTAATTTGGGTAATGAAACATCTGCAAGAAAACAACCAACTCAGAGAGCACCAAGGAGCCCTCACTTGTTACACACTTCTGTACCTTAACTATTAACTTCAGAAATACTCAAGCTCATCCCATTTTAATTCAACAGGTAAGCGCCCCAAGAAAAGATATCGAAGCTGCCGAAGAAGATGAAGAGGGAAACAGTGAGAAGGGACTCTTCAATATGGTAAGTTTGGTCATTAAACGGTATTAATACACGCACACACATACATTATCCTAAATCTTACAGGCCAAATAGCTTTTTACTCTTTAAGGAATAGTTTCTTATCAGAAAATGTAACCAGTTTTTAATCTCAGCGTCGATTCCCATTGCTGCTTTGAAGTTCTCTTACTCAAATCAGAACTAGATGAGTTTTATTCCAGGGATATATGAAGCTCCCACAACTTCTGAAGGCGACTTGTCAGGTGTGCCTCCTTTCAATACTCAAGAAAGAAAAACCCCAACTCCATTTTCTTTGAAGAAAGGTATTTTTACTGAATATGAACTGAACGCAACCATAGAAAAGCAAGATCTGAAGCATAGGCGCGAAAATCACATATAGAAAGCATCCCCTCCCAACTGTCCAGCGTAAATCATCCAATCCACAGGTCTTCCAGGGGTCATGTGGGAGCACACGTCTGGCAGTGTCGTCATTCTGGTATGCCCCGACCATTGACCTTGAGACATATCAACTTCAAAGAAAGAACGGCTGCAAAGATTCACTTTTGTTTTACTCCAGCACGCTTCTCCCCCCCAAGAATACCCCTAGCTCCCCCTCCCCCGTTTCCATGGCAGGCGAGCAAGTAAGCATCGAAAGAGCAGAGTCTTGACAGCGACTTCTGTTCCATGGGTTGATTGCTCTCGCTGTCAGAAAGTGAGTGAACTGTTGTAAGTTTGAGCACCACCTATATTTAGCCGGGTTTTGATTTTAACAGGATGAAGATGGGGAGAACACGGAGAAGAGTGACATGATGGCTCACCCCATTGCAGAACGCCTCGACATCTTGATGATCGTGATGTTTTCCTACATTAAAGATGTTTGCTATGTTAATGGTAATAAACCTGGGGCAGTTTCCCAGCATTATTTGGCAGTGCTGAGCAGAGCATTTGGGCTTAATGTAGGCAGCCACTTGAAAGGAATTCCTGGATGATGTTGTAGTGTTATTGCTGTAATTCATAATTTGGGCATGTAAATGGAAAACATATCATTCTTTAGCTCCACGGTTTCTGTTCCTCTTAAGACAATTCAAGTTCTTCTAATTAAGGACAGTCAATCTTTCCCCCTTCAGATAGATGATAGATAGATAGATAGATAGATAGATAGATAGATAGATAGATAGATGATGAATAGAATAGAATAGAATTGAATTGAATTGAATTGAATTGAATTGAATTGAATTGAATTCTTTATTGGCCAAGTGTGATTGGGCACACAAGGAATTTGTCTTTGGTGCATATGCTGTCAGTGTACATAAAAAGAAAAGATACATTCGTCAAGAATCCTAAGGTACAACACTTAATGATGGTCAAAGGGTACAAATAAGCAAGCAAATCATACTAGGAAACAATATAAATCGTAAGGATACAGCAATAAATTATGCAGTCATAAGTGGGAGGAGATGGCTGATAGGAACGATCAGAAGACTAATAGTAATAGAAATGCAGACTTAGTGAATAGTTTGACAGTGTTGAGGGAATTATTTGTTTAGCAGAGTGATGGCGTTCGGGAAAAAACTGTCCTTGTGTCTAGTTGTTCTGGTGTGCAGTGCTCTATAGCCTCGTTTTGAGGATAGGAGTTGGAACAGTTTATGTCCAGGATGTGAGGGGTCTGTAAATATTTTCCCAGCCCTCTTTTTGACTCGTGCAGTATACAGGTCCTCCATGGAAGGCAGGTTGGTAGCCATTGTTTTTTCTGCAGTTCTAATTATCCTCTGAAATCTGTGTCTATCCTGTTGGGTTGCAGAGCCAAACCAGACAGTTATAGAGGTGCAGATGACAAGACTCAATAATTCCTCTGTAGAATGTATTAATGATAGAATATTCAGCATCTGAAAGCTGCACAAACGAACAGCCTTTTTAACCTCTTTTTCTAACAGTAACAGAGTTGGAAGGGACCTTGGAGGTCATCTAGTCCAACCCCCTGCTCACGCAGGAGACCTGTGCTAGGGATTCGAACCGCCAAACTGCCAATCTTTCTGATTGACAAGCTCATTGTTTTAACCACTGAGCCACCTTACTCAGGCTCTTAGCATATAATTCTAGGAACATAATTTTTTTTTTTTTATTCCTAGGGAAAATTGATGTTGGCAACACCAAAGATTTATACCGAGACCTTGTGGCTATCTTTGATAAGCTGATTTTAACCACCCACGGATCATGTCACGTGCAATTCATCATGTTCTACCTCTCTGGTTTCAGATTGGTAAATAATCAAATAAACTTTTATTCCCTTCCTTCTTATGTTTTTCCCCTTTCTTAACTGGATCTTCCTGTCCTGTCCTATACTCCAAGAAAATGTGAAACTGGCTAAAACCTACCAAGTCACCTCCTGCTATTGCCCTCACCCCAAATCCCTGACGGAAAACAGTTATTTGCTTTTAGTTGGACAAGAAGCACATTGGGAACTATTTGGAAGTTAGAAATTAATGCTTCTTTTCTTTTCCCTACCTTTCCTCACTTCTCTCTCCCCCCTTCCCCTTCCCTCTCACTGCTCTTTTATTTACTTTCGTATTTTTGCATTTTATAATACTTTATAATCTAATTTTTAAAAAATGGAAGTTAAAAAAAAAGAAGTACATTGGGAACTATTGATGTATTTAGTTCTCGTTCTGTTCCTTTGTTGTTTATTCTATTAATTGACTTCTGAATACCTTTTCATTTTTTTTCATTTTTTATTGTAAGCCACCTAGAGTAGCCCCACAGCGAGATAGGGGGCAAATAAATTTAAACAAATTAATAAATAAAATAAACCTTTGATTCCAACTTTATAGAGAATAGAATAGAGTAGAATAGAATAGAATAGAATAGAATAGAATAGAATAGAATAGAATAGAATAGAATAGAATAGAATATTGGAATGAAGAATGAAATAGAATAGAATAGAATTCTTTATTGGCCAAGTGATTGGAAACACAAGGAATTTGTCTTTGGTGCAGATGCTCTCAATGTACATAAAAAGACAAGATACATTCGTCAAGAATCATAAGGTACAACACTTAATGATGGTCAAAGGGTACAAATAAGCAAGCGAATCATACTAGGAAACAATCAATATAAATCGTAAGGATACAGCAATAAATTATGCAGTCATAAGTGGGAGGAGATGGGTGATAGGAATGATCAGAAGACTAATAGTAGTAGAAATGCAGACTTAGTGAATAGTTTGACAGTGTTGAGGGAATTATTTGTTTAGCAGAGTGATGACATTCAGGAAAAAACTGTCCTTGTGTCTAGTTGTTCTGGTGTGCAGAGCCCTATAGTGTCGTTTTGAGGGTAGGAGTTGAAACAGTTTATGTCCACGATGTGAGGGGTTATCTTTTCTCTGAACTGACTAACTGATACCTGTGGTCACTGCCCCAGCCTTAACAGCTGTGTATGTCCTCCAGGTAATCGCAGAGGCTTTTGTGGAACATCTGTGGAAAAAGCTACAGAATCCAAATGTTCCTGCTGTGATCCGACAAACCACCGGGAACTACATTGGCAGCTTTTTGGCACGGGCCAAGTTTATTCCCATTGTGTAAGTAGGTCACCAGAGTGATCCTTGGGTGGATTAACCTGCCAAGTAAGGCTACATCCCAAAGATGTCAGCCCACGTCTGGTTACTTAGCCATGTTTTGTTTGGTTTTTCTAAAATCATTTCAGGACAGTGAAAGCCTGCTTAGATCTCCTGGTCAGCTGGCTGCACACTTACATCGACAACCAGGGAACGGGGTCCCGAGCATTTTGCGACGTTGCGCTCCACGGCCCGTTCTACGCAGCCTGCCAGGCTGTGTTCTACGTTGTCATCTTTCGCCACAAGCAGCTCCTGGATGGAAATCTCAAGAAAGGTGAGCAGAAGTTCACCAGACAGGGAGAAGAAGAGGTGGGCGGAACATGTCTGTTTCTAGCCTGGGCGTAGGAGGAGGACAGGCAGAGCCTGGGGGTGGAGTCAAGAGCGGAATCAGCCTAGAATCATTACATTCCCACAAATGTATGTCCTGTTTTTTACTTTGGCTGTTCACCGCCCTGAGTCCTATTTGGAGAAGGGCGGTATAGAAATTGAAACAAACAAACAAATAAATAAATAAATAAAATAAACAGCCTGCTTTTTTCAAACTTTTCCCAGTGATTTTATAACTTCGAAAAGTCGCTAAACAAATGGTTGTAAATTGAGAATTACCTGTATGCATTTTTCTCATTGATCTACTAAGAATCTGCTAAGCCAGGGGTGTCAAACTCTTATTTCATTGAGGGCCGCATCAGGGTTGTGCTTGACCTCGAGGGGCAGGGGGGGACACGTGTCCGGGAGGGCATTGCCAGCTCGACATCACTCATCGAGACTCCGTTTTCGGCCACGACAGCTTTCTGAAACCCTCTGCTGGTCAAAACGGAGCTCGTGCGGCCTCCCTGAGCTCTGTTTTTGCTGGCAGAGGCACCGTGGGCTGGTCCTTCACTGTTTCCAGGGCAAACCCGCAGGCCAGATCTAAGCACCACGCAGGCAGGATGTGGCCCACAGGCCTTGAGTTTGACACCTCTGTGCTAAGCCATGTTTCCCGGAGAATAGTGTCTTTTTTAGAAGCCTCTACAACATCAGAACGGTTTCAATGTATTTCTGTTAGAATTAAATTTTGTTAAATGTAGCACTTCATAGAAAGCCAAGATTGAATGTAGTCAATTCCTCTGGTCTTCTGTTTTCAAGGTTTGGCCTACTTGCAAAGCTTAAACTTTGAGCGCATTGTTCTGTGCCATTTAAACCCCCTGAAGGTCTGCCTGCCAACCATTGTGAGTCTTTTTGCTGCCCTGACCAGGTACAATTGTTTTCTCTCTTGCAAAGTTTGTTTATTCATTAAATGCATTTGTTTACGCCAACAATCCCTCTAAAATTTGGAGTGTTTTGCAGAGGGACTCTGTCCATTTATTGAATGCATATAGAAATGGGGCGATAGTGAGGACACTCACTATCTTACGTGTTTTAAATCAGTCCCAGGCAGGGGTGTCCAGCCTTGGCAGCTTTAAGACCTGTGGACTTCAACCTCCAGAATTCCCCAGCCAGCTAAGGGGATTCTGGGAGTTGAAGTCCACAAATCTTAAGGTTATCAAGTTTTGGACATTTTTGGTCTAAGCTAAGGCATTTCTTGAATGCAAAACTGTAGACATCTCATCTGCAGTTCCTGCTGTTGCTCAAACAGAGAAAGGATTTGATGCATCCAGAAATGTTTATTAGCCTGTTGAGGATCCAAATCTTGGGTTTATTCCATTTCCACGGTCCTAGCCTAACCGGTGCCAAGATAGCAACCTCATATTTACTTCTCTGAACCTGGAGGAAGGAGAAGATACTTGTTTGAGAAGAAACTCTACTCTTATTTCACTGACATCCTGGGGATCTTTTCCCAAGAATTTCAGGCCTTGTCCTAGTTTGAAGGAAACCTCAGCAAAAGGAAGAAAGCTAAGGAAAGAGAAAATAGTAGTAGTTAATAGGATAGGATAGAACAGAACAGAATAGAATTCTTTATTGGCCAAGTGTGATTGGACACACAAGGAATTTGTCTTAGGTGTATATGCTCTCAGTGTACATAAAAAGAAAAGATACATTCGTCAAGAATCATAAGGTACAACATTTAATAGTTCAAGATATTGTCTCTTTACTAACACAGAAGAAGGCAGCTAAAGTACTGGAATGAGGAAAGAGTAGCTCCCAGGTGACCAAGCGAGAAGATGTTTCCATACCTTGCCCTCAGAAGCTCTTCTGTGAAATGTAGATGAAACAGGTTGATGGAATTGTGAATTGTGAACTTTAAAATAACTTCCATTTTTCTCCTTTCCTCTTCCTCCTCCCTCCTTCCAGGAAGTACCAGGTGGCCTTCTGTGACACCATCATTGAGAGAAACCGGAGACAAATATTGCCAGTTGTCCGAAGCAGCTGTGGGGGAGAGTCCATTGAGACGGCCACAAACCCCCTTGACAGTTTTTTCCCGTTCGATCCTTACATTCTTAAAAGGTACCTCGTTGAGAAATGCGCAACCCTCACCTGAAACATGCTTTTTTCGGTTTTTTTCAACTCCAATGGGCAAACTGGCCTGTATTTTTGTGCAAGTTAGGACCCCTAATCTAGAGTCAACCCTGGAGAAGCCCATTTCTTCTTATTTATATCCCATCAACTGAAAGAATTAGAATAAGAATGTAGAATAGAATAGAATCCTTTATTGGCCAAGTGTGATTAGATACACAAGGAATTTGTCTTCGGTGCTTAAGCTCTCAGTGTGCATAAAAGCTATAAGTGATAAATCATCATCATAGTCGTCATAAAAATACATTCTTCATGAATCATAAGCTACAACACTGGGTGATAGAATCAACATAAATCGTACTAGGACATTAACTAAAACAATATAAATCGTAAAGATACAAGCACTATTATAGTCATAAGTAGAAAAGGAGATAGGTAATAGCAAAGATGAGAAGAATAATAGTAATACAGTCTTACTAAAGTTGTGTACTTTCAACTCTACAATTCCTGTTAAGCAACATCTCGTGTTTTGTCTTTCCCTCTCCTGCCCTCTCTCTCTCATCCCTTCTTTCTCAGATCAAAGAACACAATCAATCCTTTATATCAGTTTTGGGAAGAGCAGAGCGCTGAGGACCTCAAGGAGACTGCAGAACCCGTCAATGAGGTGAGCCGTTTCATTCAAGCTCCATCAGCCTGTTTTCTTGCGAAAGATATTTGCTTCTCCCTTGGGCTGGGAAGATTGCTAATTCCCGCACATCTGGGGGGCTTTCAGGAGCCTGGATAGCTCTGCAGACTAAGCACTGTAATTTAAAACCAGCTGTCTGCAATTAAACTAAGTTCGAATCTTGCCAGGCTCAAGGTTGACTCAGCCTTCCATCCTTTCTAAGGTAGGTAAATTGAGGACCCAGTTTGTGGGGGCAATAAGCTGACTTTGTATAAAATATACAAAAGTATGAAGGCTATTGCTTAACGCATTGTAAGCCTCCCTGAGTCTCCGGAGAAGGGCGGCATATAAATCAATTTTTTTTTTAAAAAAAAAAAAGGAGGTCAGCTTAGATCAGCAGTGGGGAACCTGCAGCTCCCAGATGTTGTGAACTCCAGCATCTTCAGCGTCCTTGGTCCTCCTGAGAAGATAGTTTGACAACCATCCCACAAATCCAGGGGAGAGCAGTGATGAAAAACGAATTGGAAAGTGCTTGTGTGTTCGTTCTTTAAAACAGTGTCTCCAAGTTTGGCCATTCGGAGATGTGTGGACTTCAAAGCCCAGAATTCCTCAGCCAGCACACTTCCTGGGGAATTCTGGAAGTTAAACACACATCTTCTCAAATGGACAAAGTTGGGAGATACTGTTTTAAGCCATCGTATTGCCATTTTCCTTTTCCTTTGAACTATTGTGTGTTTTTATGCAGGGCAAAGGTGAAGAGGAAGACGATTTCTTGAGGGGTGAAACTCCCCAAAATGATGGCATGATCAGCGTGACGCCAAGCTCCTTCAACGCTCTTGTTCACAGTTCAGAAACCAGTCTCGGATCACCCCCAGTTGAACTGCAGCTCTGATCTTTGGACAGCAACAGATAGCAACGACATTTATATATATATGAGACCTTTGGCAGGAGATGGGGGAACAATTTCTAAATTCTTCATTTCTTGCATTAATTCAGCTATCCAAACTGAACATTTGCATCCCGGATAGGATGATACTTTTTGTACTTTATTTACTACAAAAAGCTGCCAAGTATCAGAACCATTAGACATTACTTTTTTTTTTTTCCTTTTGCGTTTCCCTATTTTGGGACAGATCCCCTCTGATTTAACAGAACACTGTGATCCACTGATCCAGAGAATGATGGTGCTGCATGTTGATGCCTGTGGATTAAAAAGGCAAAAAGAAAGCTACATTTTCAAAGCAAACTTGCTAATCAGAACCCAGAGATCTGCTTCTTTGGGTTAAAAAAAGAGAGGCCTATTTGAATACAGCTTTTACAAGATTTCTGCTTAATCCGAGAATATGATAAGAGTGTCAAAAGTTATGCCAAAACAATCTGAGATGTTCATATTCAGGGGAGTTGTATAAAATAAGATTTGGGGTTATTCTGATTTCTGTTAAATTACGTGGCCTATGTCAAAAGAAAAGGGACGCGGTGGCTCAGCAGCTAAGACACTAAACTTGTCAATCGAAAGGTCGGCAGTTCAGCGGTTCGAATCCCAAGCGCCGTGTAATGGATGAGCTCCTGTTACTTGCCCCAGCTTCTGCCAACCTAGCAGTTCGAAAGCACGTAAAAAATGCAAGTAGAAAAATAGGCACCACCTTTGGTGGAAAGGGAACAGCGTTCCGTGCACCTTTGGCGTTGAATCATGCCAGCCACATGACCACAGAGACGTCTTCAGACAGCGCTGGCTCTTTGGCTTTGAAACGGAGATGAGCACCGCCCCCTAGATTCGGGAATGACTTGCACATATGTGCAAGGGGAATCTCTACTTTTTTATGTCAAAAGAATAAGATAGCATCTGCTTTAAGTATAAAAATACTGGCATGACAACTGACTCTCCATACCATCATCTAGTGCTCCGTGCTACTGAACACAAAGGAAGTTTGCCGGCTGAAGTGGTATTTAGCCAGCCACATGGCACCCAACTAAAACCTTGTTGTTATCCCACAGCTGCTACCAGGAGTGATATGCCCTCTGCTTATAGTAGAGCCAGCCCTAACTCTGTTGTTTACCCTACTGACTCTATATAAAAGTTTTAGCTTCAGTGGCGCATGTGGTTTGTTGCACAACAGCCAATGTGTGAAAATCACAGGATTTTGCCAAGATTGAAACTTCCATAGACAGCCTGTTCCACCAAATTCCAGCAATTTAGATTTTAAACGTTGCCCTTTGGAGAGCTGTTTTCCAGCATTGTGGAAGTATCTCTCTCAAGCTGGGTAACCAGTGGTGAAATTCAACTTTTTTTACTACCAGTTCTGTGGGCGTGGCTTGGTGGGTGTGGCAGGGGAAGGATACTGCAAAAGCCCCATTTCCTCCCCACTCCAGGAGAAGGATACTGCAAAATCTCCATTCCCATCCCACTCGGGGGCCAGCCAGAGGTGATATTTGCCAGTTCTCCGAACTACTCAAAATTTCCGCTACCAGTTCTCCAGAACCTGCTGGATTTCACCCCTGCGGGTAACAACGTAGTTTCCAAACGCTGGTTTGCAAGTCCCTGGATGGGACAGAAGTAAATTTGAGGCGGGGGGGGGGTCATAAATTGGGAGGGTGAATGAGTTGCAGATGCCAAGAGGAATATTTTTTAAGATCTTACCTTTACTTTGCCTGGATAAGCTGATAATACTGGACCATCTTTCTACCCAAAGCTGGAATTACTGTCTTCAGATCTTGGTCCCATTCTGCCTGGGCAGACCAAAACCAAAATCTACAATTTCTGCTACTTTTTTTTTTTTTTTTTTAAATAACCCAAACCAATGTGGAGCAACAAGCAAGAATGGTCATTTCAAAAATGAAACCCACATTTCAGGAATTATGCGAGCAAATAATCTTTTTTTCATTATTAAGGTTTTGTTATATTTCTAATGAAAATGTTTCATTTGGCAAAGCTGAACGATTCTGTCATTATTTAATTCTACAGATTAAAAGTTATTTATTAAAAGTGAATGGGTTTGTGTGTGTGTGTTTGTTTTTTTGTCTGCTCAACCATTATCCCTCTGAAATTATTAGCATACAGAGCTATTTACCAGTTTAGGGGATTCCTTGAGTCCTCTGGTCCTTTTTGTCCTTTTGCTTCCATGGACATCGTTTTCTTAAAAAAGTCCAAATTCAACTCTAAATTAGAAGCTTGACAACAAATGTTGGGATTGCTACTCATAAACAGAATTTCCACTGGCTGAAATAAGGACAGTCGCTTTTCTGCAACAGATTTTTCTACAACTGCACCACTAAACAAACATTTGGGATGATCTTAAAGATTGGCTTGATACCTGCTTAAGAGGAGACCATCCACAACCGTTCGCCCTAGAATGGATCATTTTTCTGGGATACAGTGTTGGAGAGTTTGCGAGTCAGTTTGGCAGAGTGATTAAGGTGCTGGCCTAAAAACTAGGAGATAAGCTATGGCAAAGGGACGCGGTGGCTTAGTGGGTAGGACGCTGAGCTTGTCGATCGGAAGGTTGGCAGTTCAGCGGTTTGAATCCCAAGTGCCGCGTAATGGGGTGAGCTCCTATTACTTGTCCCAGCTTCTGCCAACCTAGCAGTTCGAAAGCGCATAAAAAAATGCAAGTAGAAAAATAGGGACCACCTTTGGTGGGAAGATAACACCGTTCCGTGTGCCTTTGGCATTTAGTCATGCCAGCCACATGACCACGGAGACGTCTTAGGACAGCGTTGGCTGTTCGGCTTTGAAACGGAGATGAGCACCACCCCCTAGAGTTGGGAACGACTAGCACATATGTGTGAGGGGAACCTTTACCTTTACCTTAAGCTATGGTAAATCTAGACAGCATACTAAAAAGCAGAGACATCACCCTGCCAACAAAAGTGCGTATAGTCAAGGCGATGGTTTTCCCAGTTGCAATATATGACTCTGAAAATTGGACTATAAGAAAGGCTAAGCACCAAAGAATTGAGGCCTTTGAACTATGGTGCTGGAGAAGACTCCTGCGAGTCCTTTGGACTGTAAGGCCATCAAACCAGTCAGTCCTAGAGGAGATCAACCCTGACTGCTTTTTAGAAGGCCAGATCCTGAAGAGGAAACTCAAATGCTTTGGCCACCTAATGAGAAGGAAGGACTCACTGGAGAAGAGCCTAATGCTGGGAACGATTGGCGGCAAAAGAAGAAGGGGACGGCAGAGAAGGAGGTGGCTGGATGGAGTCACTGAAGCAGTTGGCGTGAGCTTAAACGGTCTCCAGGGAATTGTAGAGGACAGGAAGGCCTGGAGGAACGTTGTCCATGGGGTCGCGATGGGACGGACACAACTTCGCAACTAATAACAAAAATGAGGATAGAATAGAATAGAATTCTTTATTGGCCAAGTGTGATTGGGCACACAAGGAATTTGTCTTTGGTGCATATGGTCTCAGTGTACATAAAGAAAAAATTAAATTATTTGTCAGGAATCATAGGATACAACACTTAGTGATAGTCATAGGATACTAATAAGCAATTAAATCACACTAGGAAACAATAAAAACAATATAAGTTGTAAAGATGCAAGCAACATGGATATAGCCATAAGTGGGAAGAGATAGGTACCAATAAGGATGAGAAGAAGAATTGTAATATAGTCTTAGTAATTAATTTGACAGTGTTGTGGGAATTAGATGTTTAGTAGAGTGATGGCATTCGGGGAAAAAAACTATGAGATGTTTTTTAGGCATGAAAGCCAGCTGGGCGACCGAGCCAGATCCTCTCAGCCCAAGTCACCTCACAGCATTGTGAGGAAAATAGGAGGAAAAAGGTGTATTAGGTATGTTCCATGCCTTGAGTTATGTATAAAAATAAAGGGATAACAAACATTTTAAAATTAAGAGAATGTTCCTATCTTCCCCCAATGATGAGGGATGGTAAAACTTGAATGGATCAAATAGCAGGAAGCTAGCTATTAAAGATACAAGAGTCCCAATAGGACAAAACTTTGCAGTTTTTAAAATTATTCACTGGTACTGGGTTGTTTGCAATCCTAAGTAAGAGAAAACGGAAGGAGAATACATTTGGATAACTCAATCCAGTGAAGAACAATTAACTTCACAATGTCCTTTCCCTAGTAAACTCTGGCCCATACAGGCTGAAGAATATTAGAAATGAAACAAGGTCAAATTCCCACCTAAAGGATTCTTTAGCAAAAATGTATTTTGCCACATTTGAAACAAAAAAAATACCCCAAAATCGCCCTGTGCAAGATCATCCTAATACGATCTGCAGATATCAATTTCTGTGCATTGAAGAATGAGATCTTCAAAACAAGATTTATCAGGACTTCTTCAAAGGGCTCCTGGTCCCTTTAAGGGGAAAAGGTTCTTCCTGTATCATTTATTTCATCTTCTAACCTTCACACTCTTACCGGGGGTTTGTCTGGGCTGCATTGAAAAAGTGAGTCGGAATTCCTTTCTTAGAAAGTTTGAAATGAATTTGACTGCTGTCCTCGAAATTACAGTGTCCTACTCTTGTTTGTCAACAAACAGCCTTAAGTGTGGTGTAACAGCTACCACATTGGTCTCCTCTGAAGTCTTGCATTGGGCAGGAAGGAGAGGAACTCTAGAGAAAAATGGACAAGCCACAGTTGACTTTAATTGTGGTTGTCTGAATAAGCTACATCAGTGGTGGGTTTCAAATTTTTTTACTACCGGTTCTGTGGGTGTGGCTTGGTGGGCATGGCATGGGTTGATGGGAGTGGTTTCCTGGGCGTGGCAGGGGAAGGATACTGTAAAATCTCCATTCCCACCCACTCCAGGGGAAGGATACTGTAAAATCTCCATTCCCTCCCCAATCTAGGGGAAGGATACTGCAAAATTAAAAAATTAAAGAGCCTTGGTAATACAGTGGTCTAAGGCACCCTGTTATTAAGCTGGTTATTAAGACCAGCTGCCTGCAATTACTGCAGGTTCGAATCTCGCCAAGGCTCAAGGTTGACTCAGCCTTCCATCCTTTCTAAGGTAGGTAAATTGAGGACCCAGTTGTGGGGGCAATAAGCTAACTTTGTATAAATATAGAAAAGGATGAAGGCTATTGCTGAGCACATTGTAAGCCGCCCTGAGTCTCCGGAGAAGGGCGGCATATAAATCAAATTTTAAAAAAAATAATCCCCATTTCCTCCCAATCAGCTGGGACTCAGGAGGCAGAGAATAGATGGGGGCGGGGCCAGTCAGAATTTTTACTACCGGTTCTCCAAACTACTCAAAATTTCCACTACCGGTTCTCCAGAACTGGTCAGAACCTGCTGAAACCCGCCTCTGGTGTCCTGGTTATTACCTGTACTTCAAGTTGTCTACTCAGTTCGTTTGGGAAAATAATCAAAGAGAAATAGTTTTTGCTAAAGATTCAAAGGAAAAGACAAAGCGATTGCACTAAGGGTGCTATTCAGCAGGTTCTGACAGGTTCTGGAGAACTGGTAGCGGAAATTTTGAGTAGTTCGGAGAACCGGCAAATGCCACCTCTGGCTGGCCCCAGAGTTGGGTGGGAATGGGGATTTTGCAGTATCCTTCCCCTGTAGTGGGGTCGGAACGGAGATTTTGCACTATCCTTCCCCTGCCACGCCCGCCAAGCCACACCACACCACGCCTACCAAGCCCACAGAACCGATAGTAAAAAAAATTTGAATTCCACCACTGGATTGTATTGCTTTCTAGCAATATGGTGGGAATAGATAATTTTTTTAATGGTTCCAGGCTTAATGGTTCCCAAATTCTCTGGATTTACAAAGTGAAAATGTTGTTTTGCACCAGGAGGCCTTGGGTATAAAGAAGTGGGCAGGCAAACTTAAGTCCGCACGCCAGCTTCTGCTTATCCCTGACACTGCCTTTTTAATCACTGTAGGATCTGCAGACAGGTAAACCATTAGCATTGGGTGGAGAATGTCTTCCCCACCTGGAATTAGCTCAGGTTAGTAGTAAACACCTAGAGGAGAACAGCTGTGCTCCCCACTTCCTCTGTAGGACTTTTTTTTTTTTAATTTGATTTATATGCCGCCCTTCTCCGGAGACTCAGGGCGGCTTACAAGGCGTTAAGCAATAGCCTTCATACTTTTGTATATTTATACAAAGTCAGCTTATTGCCCCCACAAACTGGGTCCTCAATTTACCTACCTTAGAAAGGATGGAAGGCTGAGTCAACCTTGAGCCTTGGAGAGATTCGAACCAGCAGTAATTGCAGGCAGCTGTGTTAATAACAGGGTGCTTAGACCACTGTGCTATCAAGGCTTCTTAAGGACTTTCCAGCCAGTGTCTGTCCTCCTCCTTTCAGGGTTGATTGAAACAGCTTCTTGAGATGTTTCCATCTTCTTCTTGGGAGCCCCAAAATATCCCCGCAGGCTGCGTTCCCTTTGAAAGCTACTTCTCAGGAATCACAGGTAAGTTCTGGAAAGCAAACCCAATGGAATAAAACCAGAGTACTCAGTCAGACCAATACTAGAGGTAGTATTGGAATGGCCAGGATACCTAGCAGTTATTGGAGCATGTGACTCACAGTCTTTCACCTCTCCTGAGCCAAGGAACAGTGTCTTTCCGTCATTCAATCCAGCTTCAAGAATCCCATATTGATGGGTTTAAAATAGGTGTATATGTATTTCTATCTGCAGAGGTTCTAAAATGCTTCATTGCATCATATACCTGCAGATATTTTTTTGCTGAACTTCACCGACGTAGAAGGCACCCCCTAAAAGCTATCTAATTCAAAAGCTTACTGCAGTCTCTTCCTTGCAGACCCAGAAACTCCAAAATTAACAATAGAGAAGCCTCAAGTAGATGCCATGTATTTAGGCAATCCCTTGCAAGAAGCATCAACTGGAGTCAACGTGCTGAACATGTAAGTGATGTCATCAGCCTCCACTTCCCTTGTTCCCTTCTCTGGAAGGTGAAATAACAGAGGTGTCAGGGTTCCGATGGATGCCCTAAGTAAAACATGAGCCTTGAGCCGAGTTTCAAAAGAAATCCAGTTATTTATTAGGAGCTTCATGTCGGCACGTTCCCAAGTGAAGCCAACTCTGACCCCACGTAATTTACGGCCCCAATCACGACTCTGTTTCCCCCCTCCCTCCAGGGTGTGTCATCAATCACATTCGTCAACAGAGTAATCTCGCGGGTTGTAGAGATCACTCCCCTCCGGCTGCTGTGGGTAACCCTGGGAGACAGCCTTGAGAAAGATATGTCTGGAATGTGCTCCTGTCTTTGGCTGCCATGCTGCTTCGTCGGTTTCCCATCCCCCTTGCCTATGGCAACTCGAGAGCAGGCCAGGGATGCTTTGCGATTTGACAGGAGGATGTAGGGAGAGATCACCTAGGGTGATGGTTTCATAACGTCCTAACTGGAGTCTTTCCCATCTCCAGAGAAGATGGAGAACACTCTTTGTGAAATGCTGGAGAACTGCTTGGTCACTTACTCATTGGGATGGACCAGTGCAAATCGTGTTTTAACTATAGCTGGTTAAGCAATGGTGGTGGACCTCAACAAGATAAGCTTGAGAGAAAATGATAGATTCTAGTTGAGGACAAAGGTTCTTTCTCTTTGATGACCCAGGTTTGCCCAGCCAACAAGAGTCATTCAGAAACTTCAGAGAGGCGTACCAAGGAAGATGCGTGGGACCCCAAAGAATACACTCGTCTTGGAAGTGGTAAAGCTCTTCAAACCATCTGAAGCATCTCTTAATTTTCCAATAGTTGAGGGGAATGAGATACTTCCCTTCAGCTTTCTTTTAGGATTTGCCCGTTGTATGTAATTGAGTCTAAAAACTGACTTGAGATGAGGTACTTTGAGAGCCAGGATTCGTGATAACTTGCTTTAAATAAAATACAGCCAGAATCCTTTATTTTGAAGGTTGCTGTCAGGGTTCCGACGGAAGCCTTAATTAAATCATGAGCCTCGAGCCAAGCTTCAAAAGAAATCCAGTTATTTATTAGGAACTCCATGTCGGCATGTTCCCAAATGAAGCCAACTCTCGCAGGTTGTAGAGACCACTCTGCTCTGCCCTCTGTAGGTAATCTTGGGAGACAGCCTTGAGAAAGATATGTCTGGAATGCACTCCTGTCTTTGGCTGCCAGCTGCTTCGTCGGTTTCTCACCCCCCTTGCGTATGGCAACTCGAGAGCAGGCCAAGGATGCTTTATGAGTTGACAGTTATATAATATGATTATCTCCACGAACTTTGCTTTGCACTCGTTTCGTGGGAAATAATATAGAATTTCTTGGTCTCACTCCAGATTTATAGCTCTTCTCCCCAGTTCCAACTACATTTGGCAAGTCAGTTTTTCCTCTTTATTTGGAGACTGAAGAGATGTTTTGTAGCGAGGAAGAAATGTCCTAGCTGTTTGTAGAGCGTGAGGTTTGCTGTCACAAGTCAAAGATGTTTTCCTGCTTTTTTTGAGGTGTCTTGAACTCAAAGATCTCCTGCGCTGAAGGTCTCTCTTATATGAGACTCTTATGCAAAACACCAGTTCGTGTTTGAATCTTCAGCCTTGTTTCGCTGGTATTTTCTGCAGGAAGGGACTCTGGCATTGTCCTCCTTGACGGCTGTATGGGATGATGCCTCAACATTCACCACACCATTCCAGGACAGGCGTTATGAGGTAAGTATCTACGGAGAGGGAGGTCCATTTTTAAAAGGACACGAGGCCCCAGCCGGAGAACATTTCTGAAAATGTGCATAGTTGCCTTCTGACATTATACAATCTTGACTCAGCCTTCCATCCTTCCGAGGTGGGTAAAATGAGGACCCAGATTGTTGGGGGCAAAAGGCTGACTCTGTAAACCGCTTAGAGAGGGCTGTAAAAGTACTGTGAAGCGGTATATAAGTCTAAGTGCTATTGCTATTCAAAGCAATGTGGATTTGTCTTTCTGTCTTGAGTAGTCAATTCCCAGATTATAGGACAGCACTTATCTGGTGTAGTTTTGAAGGTGCTGGACTAGAAACCAGGAGATTGTGAGTTCTAGATTATGTTCTAGTTCTTATACCAACACACACACACTTTCCTTTTTTGATAGCTTTTTTTAAAAAAAAAACTTCTAATTTTAAAAAAGAGAGGAGTTAGTGTGCTACAAAGCAAAATCTCTAAGGCCTCAACATTCTTGGGCATTTTTGGACAATAAATGATTGCTTTGTTTAGAATGAAAAAGGACAGTTTAATTTGGAAGTAGTCATTTTTCAATAATTGGACTACTTGACTACTAGTTCAATCATCAGCAATTAGAAATCCTTTGAACCAGTAGTGAAATCCAAATTTTTTTTACTACTGGTGCTGTGGGCTTGGCTTAGTGGGCGTGGTGTGGCTTGATGGGCATGGTAGGCTACTGCAAAATCCCCATTCGCTCCCCACTCCAGGGGAAGGATATTGCAAAATCCCCATTCCCTCCCTACTCCTGGGGGAAGGATATTGCAAAATCCCCATTCCCACCCCACTCCTGGGGGAAGGATACTGCAAAATCCCCATTCCCACCCCACTCTGGGGCCAGCCAGAGGTGGTATTTGCTGGTTCTCCAAACTGCTCAAAATTTCCGCTACCGGTTCTCCAGAACCTGTCAGAGCCTGCTGGATTTCACCCCTGCTTTGACCTCATTATGAGTTTTTCTGGATTGTGTTGGGAGTTAACTGACTTCTCATTTCAGTTTCCTAACCCTTGTGTCTTTGAGGTTTCGATCAAGCTGAGACCACACCTTCCTGAATTTCTAGAAGCCCTGGCCAAAATCTATGAGGTAAGCGCTTTACCACAATTAAATTTGATCTGTGCCGAATTGAATATGATGCAGAACATCTGTAGGAGGTGGCTAAGGATTCACGAAGGGGCCACTGTCCAGAAACAGGACATATGTCTTCCTAGCAGAAGCCCTTGAGTTTAGGCTCCACAACCTTCTGAGAAATCCTTCTTGCTATTTCCTTATAGATCTTTGTGTTCACCACGGCCAAGCAAGATTACGCTGATCAAATGTTGAAGGTCCTTGGACCACAGAGGAAACTAATCAGGTGATGAAGGCCTTGGAACAAATTATGGGGCAAGACAAGACCTGAAGAAGGTTGAATTTCTTGGATGCTCTTCAGCTTTATCTCCCTTACAAAGGAAGGCAAATATACATGTCCCAGGAGAACGTTGCGGGATCCAATCTGGATCAGTCAATGGGGACCAGAGGTTTAGTCTTCTGAGCTTTTGGACTTGTGCTGGAGTCCATCCTCAGGGAACTTCTCTCTCTCTCTCTCTCTCTCTTCTCTGTCTCCCCTTCTCTCTTTCTTTCTCTCTCTGTCTCTCTCTCTCCCCCTTTCTCTCTGTCTCTCTTTGCCCTTTTGTCTGTTTGTCTGTCTATCTCTTCTCTCTCTCTGTCTGTGTGTCTCTCTCCCCCCTTCTCTCTGTCTCTCTTTGCCCTTCTGTCTGTCTGTCTCTCTCTCTCTTCTCTGTCTCTCTCTCTCTCCCCTCTTTCTCTCTCTCTCTCTTTGCCCTTTTGTCTGTTTGTCTCTCTCTCTCTGTGTGTCTGTCTCTCTCTCTCCCCCTTCTCTCTGTCTCTCTTTGCCCTTCTGTCTGTTTGTCTGTCTCTCTCTCTGCCCTTCTCTCTCTCTGTCTCTCTGTCTCTCGGTCTCTCTCTCTGTCTCTCTCTCTACCCCTTCTCTCTGTCTCTGTCTCTCTTTGCCCTTCTGTCTGTTAGTCTGTCTCTCTCTTTCTCCCCCTTCTCTCTCTCTGTCTCTCTGTCTCTTCTCTCTCCCCCTTCTCTCTGTCTCTCTCTCTCTCTTTGCCCTTCTATTTGTCTGTCTCTCTCTCCCTTCTCTCGCTCTGTCTCTCTCTCTCTCCCCCTTCTCTCTGTCTCTCTCTCTCTCTTTGCCCTTCTGTCTGTTTGTCTGTCTGTCTCTCTCTCCCTCCCCTCCTCTCTCTCTTTCTCTGTCTCTCTGTCTCTGTGTGTGTGTGTGTGTGTGTCTCTCTCTCTGTCTCATCTGTGCACTGGGTTGTTCCATGTGTAGCATTTCTCTGGTGCCTGGTTCTATGTGTCTGTTAGTTGTTAATTGGGGTGTGGATGGCTGGCTAGTAAGTTGTTGGTTGTTGTTCCCTTGTGCTGTTGGTCCTCGGCTCCTAAGTACCTGATAAGCTGGTGGTACATTAGCACTCCTGTGGCTTGAGAAGGGGCCCGTTTCCCAGGCTCTAATAATTTCCCCGGCTATTTTTGTCCTTACTCAGCCAGCAATCTTAGTTGTTGCAAAGTTGAATGAAGTATGTCCTTGTTCATTGAAATGGGAGCTACCAATGAGTTTATCTTTCTTCTTCTTCTTTTCTTCCAAGGCACCAGCTATATCAAGAGGACTGCCTCTGTAGCCAGGGTTCCTATGTAAAGGACCTGTCAGCAGTGGAAAGAGATCTGGACAGGACTGTGGCGGTTGCAACTTACCTGCAAGCGTTTCCTTACCAGGTAATGACCAAGGTGTGGTACTCCAGCATGACAAGAGAGGATACTGTTCCATAGCAAGCCATCCCATGGATTTCTCAAGCTTGGGACAAAGTATTGTGATCTGGAATTGTTCCCTGCAGGGTCTCTGGGAGAAGTTTTCTGCATCAACCAGTCTCTGATTGATTGATTGATTGATTGATTGATTGATTGATTGATGAGGAAGGTATGTCCTGATTAAATGTGAATGTGATCCCTTGGTGCTTTCAAATTGGTGGTTGACAACATTTCAAAAGTCAAGACTAGTTGCTTAATAATTTAGCCCAGTGTTTTTCAACCGTGACAACTTTAAGGTGGGTAAACCTTCAACTCCCAGTGTGGGCTGGGGAATTCTGGGAGTTGAAGTCCCCCATCTCAAAGCTGCCAAAGTTGAAAAACGCTGGTTTAGAGGAATGAAAATGTAGAAAGTGTGGATTGGTGATCCAGTGCACTAAAAGAGAGTTCTGCATTTATTTTTATTTATTTTTAAAGTTGAGGGTGCGAGGTCTTGTTTCTTTTTTTTTAAAGCTGCACCTGTATCATTTTTTGTTGCAGATGTTGTGTTTTTCCTCCTTAAAATGGCAAAAGATGGCATCAGTCAGCAGGGACAATAGCACCAGTGAAAATCACACTCATTTTCTAAGGGGAATGACAAGAAAGGAAATTGGGGAGACATTTTATTTAGATCACGGAATATAGTCAGACTTTTCTTGTTCTTTAATAGAATTAAGAGCCCGATTAAACTACTATTGAGCTGATGGCGGTGGAAGCTCAACTATCTGTAAAGGAGAACATTTGTAGCTCAGGGTTGAGATGAAGAATCCTGGATGTTTTCTGAGCTTGGTGGTTTTCTTGCAGACGTTTCATGGCCCAACTAACTAACTTCATCAGTGCACTGATGGATAATGAAACGTCTGCAAGAAAACAACCAAGTCCTTCTTCCCCCTCCCTGAAAGCCCTACTACCTTCTGGCACTGATGATGCTACTAGTTGGGTCAGGAAACATCCACAAGAAACCTACCAAGCTCAAAGAGCACCAAGAACATCACAATCTTCTTCTTCTTCCTCTTCCTCTTCCTCTTCCTCTCCTTCTCCTCCTCCTCCTCCTCTTCTTCTTCTTCTTCTTCTTCTTCTTCTTCTTCTTCCTCCTCCTCTTCTTCTTCTCCTCCTCCTCCTTCTTCTTCCTCTTCTTCTTCTTCTCCTCCTCCTTCTTTCTCCTCCTCCTCCTTCTTCCTTCTTCTCCTCCTCCCTCTGCTTCCTCCTCCTCCTCCTCCTTCTCCTTCTTCTTCTTCCTTCTCCTCCTCCTCCTTTCTCCTTCTGCCCCTCCTACTCATTCTTCTTCCTCTTCCTCTTCCTCTTCCTCTTCCTCTTCCTCTTCCTCTTCTTCTTCTTCTTCTTCTTCCTCTCCTCCTCCTCCTCCTCCTCCTTCTTTCTCCTCCTCCTCCTTCTTCCTTCTTCTCCTCCTCCTCCTTTCTCCTTCACTCTCTCTCCTCTCCTTCTTCCTCTCCTCCTCTCTCCTCTTCTCTCTCCTCCTCCTCCTCCTCTCTCCTCCTCCTCTCTTCCTCCTCCCCTTCCTCTCTCCTCCTCCTCCTCTCTCCTCCTCCTCCTCCTCCTCCTCCTCCTTCCTCTCCTCCTCCTCCTCCTCCTCCTCCTCTCCTCTCTCTTTCTTCTCCTCTCCTCCTCCTCTCTTCTCTCCTCCTCCTACTCTCCTCCTCCTCCCTCTTCCCTTCCTCCCTTCCTCTTCTCCTCCTCCTCCTCCTCCTCCTCCTTCCTCCTCCTCCTCTTCCTTCTTCTTCTTTCCTACTCCTCCTCCTCCTTCCATTCTTTTTCTCCACTCTGCAAACCCCTTCTGGCACTGATGATGTTACTTAGTTGGGTCATGAAACATCTGCAAGAAAGCAACCAAGCCCAGAGACCTGTTGTTGCTGCTGCTCCTGCTGCTCCTGCTGCTCCTCCTCCTCTTCTTTTCTTCTTTCTTCCTCCTCCTCCTCCTCCTTCTTTCCTCCTCCTCCTCCTCCTCCACCCATTCTCTTTCTCCACTCTGCAAACCCCTTCTACCACTGATGATGTTACTTAGTTGGGTCATGAAACGCCTGCAAGAAAGCAACCAAGCTCAGAGAGCAACCAAGAACCCCTCATCTACCTGCCCAAACGTTACAATGCTCGAGTGCTTCTGATTGACGCTTGGCCTCAAATGAATGTTCTTGTCTCCTCGTAGACGTCCAATGTGATCGTGGTCCCCGAGTGGCAGGGCGATCGTCAAGACGAAGAATTGCTTCGCCTTATTCCAGCCCTCCGAAGTATTAGTCAGGCCGTAAGTCAATGACTTTGTATCAATCCAGTGGTGGGCTGCCGCCGGTTTGAACAAACCGGTAGTTCCAGTGGTGAAATCCAAATTTTTTTACTACCGGTTCTGTGGGCGTGGCTTGGTGGGCATCGTGTGGCTTGGTGGGCATGGCTTGGTGGGTGTGGCAGGGGAAGGATACTGCAAAATCTCCATTCCCACCCCACTCCTGGGGGAAGGATATTGCAAAATCTCCATTCCCACCCCACTCTGGGGCCAGCCAGAGGTGGTATTTGCCGTTTCTCCGAACTGCTCAAAATTTCCGCTACCGGTTCTCCAGAACCTGTCAGAACCTGCTGGAATTCACCCCTGGGTCGTTCCGACGATCCGAATGAATGGAGAAGCCACAGACCTGAATGGATAAATGCTTAGAGCGGTGAGATTATATACTAAAAAGTTTCCAGCTTTTCAATCAATGCTCCGTAACCTCTTCGATGAAAACCTTAAATGGAATTAAACCTGCCAGCAGATGGCTGTGTCCATCTTTTGCTTAAAGTGAACAAGAACAGTTTTCGCTTTAGGCCGTTGCTTTAGGCCAGCGGTGAATTGCTGGTTATGGAAAGATTTTTAAAACATTTTAAAAACAGTCTAGTCTTTTAAAATGAAAGATAGACCAGGGTTAAAGGGCTTAAAATGATTTTTCAGCCTTCTCTGTAGCCCAATGATATCTAACCTTGGCAACTTTTAAAACTTGTAGATGTCAACTCCCAGAATTCCCCAGGCAGCTGGCTGGGGGAATTCTGGGAGTTGAAGTCCACAGGTCTTAAATTTGCCAAGGTTGGAACCCCCCCTGCCAGTAATATTTGGAACTGAAATTCTTACTTTCCTTTTATTTGTCCATGTCGCGTTTGCAGGTTGACATTCGCACTGAAATAGAGAGAAAACATCGTGGCCGAGGAACGGTTGAGCGTCTGTTTCCATTATAAATCTCCTCTTCAGATTTGCTTTGGAACCTCCAGACTTTCAATCGCAACGTAGTTTGGATATTTTGGCCCAACTATTCTTGTTCATTTCTGTTGCTTTCAAGTGGATAGAAATTCAGGCACTGATGAGGAATTGAATCAATAGACACACACACACACATATATATATGTATTTAACCATTTCACAGAAACGATGGAAGCTCAAAAATGCTTTTTTAAATTTTTGGGGTGGAGAGGAAAACCGGTATCGTTCCATCCACGATGTACGCGCGCATTTTTCTCCCGTTAGAGATATATGTTGAAGTGTGCTTGAAGGAGCATCTTCCAAGTTTCTAAATTAATTTCTTGGCTTCTGCAAATGCACAAACGAGACATAAATATATGGTTCCTGATAGGGCCGTGATGGCGAATCTATGGCACAGGTGACAGAGTTGGCATGCAGAGCCCTCTCTGCTGGCACGCGTGTTGCCTCCCAAGTCAGATCTCCGGGGCGTTTATTGTGTGAGCGCTTCTGTTTCCCTGCAAACGACAAAACAGAAGCTCATGTAAGAAAAAAGATCTTCCCTCTTGCCCTGTTGCTGGTGTTGGGATGCCCCGGCTTCCTCCGGCCAGCTGATCTGCACGTTTCTGCTGCGCATATTAGCGCATGCATGTGTTCGCACATGTATGTGTTTGCAATTACATGTGTTTGTACAGTCACACGTTCGCACATGCACCTTTCAGTTTGGGCATGCACGCACATGCAGTTTGGGCCCTCGGTGTCTAAAAGGTTTGCCATCACTGTAATAGGGTGTCGTTTTTAAGAGGCTGGGCTTTGCAGAAGAAATTCTTGGTCTAAAAGTGTTTCCTTTGTGTTTTATTTCTGACATTCTCCTTCCACCCAAATGCAATTTCAGACACGAGTAATAAAATGAGGTTTGTCTTCAGCTTATGTGTTTTTACTACTCAACCCTCCTACTCTCCTGGTTTTCAATCTACAAGAAAGTAATACAGGTAGTTCTCGTTTAGTGTCCGCATTGCTTAGCAACGGTCTCATTTAGCAACCGTTCACAGTTACGGCGGTGATGAAGAAGTAACTTTACAAGCCGTCCTTGTGTTTACAGTCTCTAAAGGAATTTAAACCAGAAGTATTCTTATTAGGAATTATAAAAGAAGGTTAAAGTAAAGGGTTAACGTATTTAATATGACATGTCATCACAGCAGCGAGAACAGTTTATGCCCAACAATGGAAGAGTGAGGACATAATACCTAAAGAAAGGGAAATAATGAAAAAAATACTTGACTGCGCAGAATGTGATAGACTGACACTGGAACTGAAAAATAAAGGAGAGACAGAATACTATGAGATTTGGAATAGATTTTACCAATGATTAGATTTAAGGAATGAAAGTTGGAACAGATAAGAACAAGGACGTGCAGATCAAAAGAAGATGTAATATATGTACTGTATTTTTCGGAATGTAAGACGCACCTTTTCCCCCCCTAAAAGCGGGTGAAAATTTGGGTGCGTCTTATACACTTAATGTAGCCCCGCCCACCCACTGGCCCCCACCCTTTGGCCTCTGCCTCCCAGCAGTTTACCTCCTTGCAAGCAAACAGCAAGAAAAAACACCTCCTTTCAGCTTCAGCACAGCCTAATTAGCACAAGTTGTTTAGATGGCCTCCCAACTCTCAGCTGATTTGCTCTCAGCTGTTTTGCACAGGGCACTGCTGCTTGCTGCAAAGAGGTAAATTGCTGGAGCAGATTTTTTTTCCTTGTGCTAATTAAGCTATGCTGAAAACGAAAATGAAAGTAAAAGCAGGCTGTTTGCTGTTTGCTGCAAGGAGGCAAAATTGCTCAGAGACAGAGGAAGATTTCTTTTTCTTCTTTTCCTCACCAAAAAAGGTAGGTGCGTCTTATACGCCGGTGCGTCTTATACTCCGAAAAATACAGTGATTGTAAGCGTTTATAAAAGGTTAAGTATGTGTATATAATTAGTAATTAGTAATGTATATTGAATACACAAGAGGCTTGTGCATTCCATACACTTTAGTTTTGTATGGCGGAGATAACGCCAAGATGGTTGCATCATGTCCAACTTTTTTTAATAATAAAGACAAAATTAAAAAAAAGGAAAGGAAAGGTGAAGTCAGATCAGAAGCAAAGTTGCATCACACTTAGCGTCAGCTGTCCGAGTAAAAAGCAGACGGGAAACAGGATGAGATGAGTTAAATCTAGATGAGTTAAAACCCATGACTTTATTGTTAGGCTATATTAACAGGATCTTGCAAGTCTGAAGGAACAAGCTTCCTCTGCCACTTTTAATTGTAGAGCAGGTCCTTCCTAAGTTTCTTCCCCTAACCGTTAAGTATCTGCAGGCTCCTCCATTTCTTATCTATCATCCCTAGGTAGCAGCATCTCTTTCCCTCATCCCCCAAGGTCATCCACACCTTCCATTACACCTAGCAATAGCTTCTCTTAATGACCAAGTTGCTGATCCCAATTATTTTTGCTAAATGAGGACCATTTCTATTCTTCCATGGATTCTTTCACCCTTTGGAACAATGAAATCGGAATGTGTGTGTGAGAGAGAGAGAGGGAGGGAGGGGGGAGAGAAAGAAGAAAGAAAAAGAGAGAAAAAGAAAGAAAAAGAAAAAGAAAAAGAAAGAAAGAACACTATGGGGTCTTGAGTTAGGTTGTTTTTCTTGCAGACATTTCATAACCCAACTAGGTAACATTAAATAAATATTTAAATAAATAATTTAAATAAATAAATAAATAAATAATTTAAATAAATAAATAAACATTATCAGTGCTACCGTAGAAGAGAGTGAGGGTTATGGAGTAGAGGAGGAGGACTGGGGGGTCCTTGGTGCTCTCTGAACTAGGCCGTTGGCTTGCAAGGCATTTCATGACCCAACTAGGTAACATTATCAGTGCTACCGTAGAAGAGAGTGGGCATTATGGAAAGGAGGAGGGGGGTCCTTGGTACTCTCTGAACTAGGTTGTTGGCTTGCAAGGCGTTTCATGACCCAACTAGCTAACATCTTCAGTGCTAGAAGAGAGTGGGCGTTACGGAGAGGAGGAGGAGGAGGACTGTGGGGTCCCTTGGTGCTCTCTGAGCTAGGTCGTTCGTTGAGGGCTCCAACATGGTTTACCCCTCCAGATGTTCGCAGAACCACACAACCCTACATGATCCCTTCTCCAAGGTCAGCAAAGTCTGGGAAGCCACCTGAGAACCGCAACCCCATTGCAGAGCAGGGCCCAGATGGACCAACCATCCCTGCTCTTAAGAGGCTTGGTTGGGGGAACCCCAGCAAGACCCCCCGTTTGCAGGCAATTGGAGAGTCCCTGAACCATATACCACCCCCCCTCCCCAATCAGGGAGGGGTGGGGAAGTGGGAGGGCCTCCTCCTGTGCTCCAATCCCCCCCCCCTCAAAAAAACCACCCTCCAATCTCCGGACTACATTTCCCAGGGTGCCTGGCAGCCGGGGCGGAGCCTGAGTCCAGCTGGAGGCACCGAGCAGGAAGCTTGCAAGTCGCCCTGCGGCTTCTTCTCCGGGGTGGAGGCTGCCCGACATGCCTGTGTTGGTGGAGGGGCGGCGGCTCGACCCGGCTCGGCCCCTCCGGGAGCTGCTGCGCGCCTTCCCGGAGCTGGAGGTGAGCTGGGGGCGGGGGGAGAGCAGGGGAGGGCGGGGCTCCTGCGCCCCAGGTGAGACCAGGTGCGCCCTGCACCTTGCAAAAAAGGAGCTGCAAAGGGCGCGCTGGCTTGGAGACCCTCTTTTTTTTTTAATTTATTTGATTTATATGCCGCCCTTCTCAGGAGACTCAGGGCGGCTTACAATGTGCTCAGCAATAGCCTTCATCCTTTTGTATATATTTATACAAAGTCAGTTTATTGCCCTCACAAACTGGGTCCTCAATTTACCTACCTTAGAAAGGATGGAAGGCTGAGTCAACCTTGAGCCTGGGGAGATTCGAACTTACTAATTGCAGACAGCTGGAGTTAAATTACAATGCATTAGTCTGCTGAGCTATCCAGGCTCCTGTTTCCAACTTTTGCAGAAATTCCTTTGCAAACATCCAATAAAAACTTTCAAAACAGGATTTTTTTCCCCGCCTGTAACGGAGAGTTGGGGGAGAGGGAAAATTTTTTAATTTTTTTTTTAAAAATTTTGATTTATATGCCGCCCTTCTCCGGAGACTCAGGGCGGCTTACAATGCGCTAAGCAATAGCCTTCATCCTTTTGTATATTTATACAAAGTCAGCTTATTGCCCCCACAATCTGGGTCCTCATTTAACCTACCTTTGAAAGGATGGAAGGCTGAGTCAACCTTGAGCCTGGGGAGATTCGAACCTGCAGAAATTGCAGGCAGCTGTGTTAATAACAGGGTGCAACCACTGTACTACCAAGGCTCCTAATAATTGAAAACGTTATGTTTGTGGGAATAAAGTGGTACAGTTCAAGCAATTCCCAGTTTATGTGAAGCTCTGCTTGGTTTCCAGATCTTGGGAGAGGTGTGAGCTGTTTCTTAACTTTGGAGGCCCAGATCAGAGAACATTTTTATAGCTGTTTTGCTTACTGAAGTTGTGTTGTCTGTGACCCGCAAAGACCTGTACAAAAACTCTTGTTCCCCAAATCAGGAGCAAGCCAAACAGTTCCGCAGCCAACCCGCTCAAGCGGTGGGACCAAAAGGACTTCTCTATGTCCAGCAAAGAGAATTTGCAGCCACCACGTCCAAAGATGGTAGGTGGGCCCTCGAGTGAGTATAAACTCTCAATTCAAGAGAAAACAGCCAAGATCTTACATGATGTCCTTCTGCTTTCTTGATAGGTTCCGTTTCCATCCTTGGTTCAGATGATGCCACAACATGCCATTTTGTCGTTCTGAGACATACAGGTAACTGAAATACCTGGAAGATGCCTGATTTGGTTCCCATTCTCTATAATTCGACGTTTATAAAGTTTGAGGTTGCGGTTTAGAAGTGGAATAAGAGCTTGATGGAAGTCCTTGAGATAGATTGAGGTTTTTGTCTTCTTGGCTCCAGTGTTTAGAAGCACCACAGAAACCCACAGATTTTGTTACAACTGGCCGTAACCCAGGGGTGAAATTCAGCAGGTTCTGACAGGTTCTGGAGAACCGGTAGCGGAAATTTTGAGTAGTTCGGAGAACCGGAAAATGCGACCTCTGGCTGGCCCCAGAGTTGGGAGGGAATGGGGATTTTACAATATCCTTCCCCCAGGAGTGGGGAGGGAATGGGGATTTTGCAGTATCTTTCCCCTGGAGTGGGGTGGGGATGGAGATTTTGCAATATCCTTTTTTTTTTTTTTTGCTTTAATTTATATGCCGCCCTTCTCCGGAGACTCAGGGCGGCTTACAATGTGTTAAGCAATAGCCTTCATACTTTTGTATATTTATACAAAGTCATCTTATTGCCCCCACAATCTGGGTCCTCATTTCACCTACCTTTGAAAGGATGGAAGGCTGAGTCAACCTTCCCCCAGGAGTGGGGAGGGAATGGGGATTTTGCAGTATCCTTCCCTGGAGTGGGATGGGAATGGAGATTTTGCAGTATCCTTCCCCTGCCATGCCCATCAAGCCACACCACACCACGCCTACCAAGCCTTGGCCACAGAATCGGTAGTAAAAAAATTTGAATTCCACCACTGCCATAACCTCACTGTCTTCCAATTTTCAACTCCTCAAAAATCCTTTGACTGATATGTGTTTTGATAAGTCTGTTCTAAATAGAGAAATGTTCCTTATAGCTACAGTTGTCCATAAAATGCAAATTCTCATTGTAGTTTTTATTTTTTTATTTTTTAAGGGAGTGGAGCAATTTGTCTAACTCACTGCGATGGATCAGATACCGAAACAGAAGTTCTGCTGATCGTAAATGCAGTAAAAGTGCTTTCTCTAAGCACGGACTGTGGAAGGTCAGTTTTTTTAAAAAATATAATAATAATCCTTTTAAATAATCTGGTGAAAAGTTGGGGCGTCATACTTCTCAGCTGCTTTCTACCTCTTCAATTGAATAGTTAGATTCAGGTAGTTCTCGACTTACAACAATTCGTTTAGCAACCAGTTGAAATTACAGCGGCAGTGAAAAAAATTACAACGGGTCCTCGCACTTAAGACTATCATCATGTCATCCCCGTGGTTGCATGATAACCACGATAAGATGGTTGCAGCATCCTTGTCGACATTCCAAGTAAAGCATCCATAGAAAGCAGAACTCCGAGCCAGGGAGATTCCTCAAGGAACAAATTTATTGGATACATCATATTGGCACAGCTGGTGAAAATCAACTATTGTGGTCTGCCAGCGGCCTGCGGAGCTGGCAGCAGAGTCAGACAGTGAGGAGGTTGGGGAGGAACATGGGCCAGTCCTGGAGTCTGGGGAAGGCTCGGACGAGGGCTCTGCATCGGAGGCAGAGAGGGGGCCAGGGTCATCTGGTAGTTATGTGCTGCCTCCGGAGCCTCCGGAATCTGACATCAGCGAGGCGAAAGAACAGTGTGAGCCTGTTCCCAGTGTGCGCATGCACAGAGCTGCCAGAAGGCAAGAACAATTAAGGAAAAAAAGGGCGACTCGGGAGTAAGGCTTGGAGATGATTGGCCCCTCCCATAAGACATAAAAGAAGAGCAAATGGATGTGAGCCTTTGCAGGAAGCAATTAGCTCATATAGTCAATTCAAGCTCTGAGAAGTCCCGTTTGACTCTGTGCTCCGTTTGGCCTTGCAAAACTAATTGACAGTTAGGTCTCTGGCAGCGTTTCAAGGGAGATAAAGGTGGGTGCTTATCAACATTACCCTGAAAGACTGTGTCAACTTGAGCAGACATCTGTCGGAATCTTCACAGACT